AAACTTGTTTAGATACTAATCAGTATAAAAAATACAGGGATGTTCGAGTCTGACTCGCGCACCGAGGGTTCTGAAGAAATATTAAATTTTAATACTATAGAACATATCCAATATTTACTTATATTAGTTACTTTGTTTTTGTTGTTTTCATAGTGATTGTATGAATGACAAAGTAATATTTGGGGTTTTTGTAAATGTGCTATATCTGATAATGTGGCTATGCCCCGTTTAAACAAGTTTTCGTTGAAAATGTTCTTTGGGATCTACAGCATATTTTTACGAACTATTCCAATCTTCAATTTTCTAAGTTAGGGGGGAAGGGAGCTGCTCTCACATTTTACCTGTGTATGTAAAGTGGTGATACAATAGGTAAAGGGTTCGCCCGTTAGCAATTTTTGTAGTAACTGTTGACTGTTATGATGGCATATTTATATTAGTCGATAGGACCCGCATGCATAATGTGAGTGATAAACTCTTTCAGTTTCAGTCAAACAGTAATACAAATAACGCATGCGGGGCCTATCGACTAATATACATGAGTGTGCCAGGAAACCAATAACAGTCGATGACCGTCTAATGACAATATACACAAAAATCACCGCACACCGCATGCGGCCCTATGGCCATATCGACCAATGTAAATAAGCTTGCAGTAGTAGATCAACCAATGACAATCAATGATCGCCTACTGAAAACTAAACATAGAGTCGTCCCCACTCCGCATGCGGGCACTATCGACCTTGCTTGTACTAGTCGGTAAAGTGAACCAATAAGAGTCAATGATCATCTAATGAAAATAAGTACAGAAATTTGCCGCATTCAGCAGCAGAAGATTTCTGGCATTATTTGTCGATAGCTTGTATTAGTCGATAAACCTTGGAACTCTTATAGATTCGTCAACATCATGTCCGTCTGTCTGTCTATGCTTCACCCAGTACGTCAGAGTCACTTTATTTTGAAACTGTTAGCATAGATAATAGTTACTTTAATACATAGGGACAATACATTAATAATAGAAGACTTTTAGTGCACTCCATCGAGTAATAAATAAAACGCGACTGTAAAATGCAGGCGATGTTTAAAAACTAATCTAAATTATACAATACAGTAATAACGATCCCTTTCCTCGTGATCATGTTCGGTAACGTGACGTCATACGCTGAAATACCGCGTGAAGTGAAATTATTCTAGCGAGCGGAACTTCAAAGTCCCATAACTTTTTTATTTCAAATTCCATTTAAGCGACTACTTTTTCAAATAGAGCTTTTGTTATTTATGAACTTGAGTGACGCCTATGAGTCTAGTGAATAAAGAAGTATAAAAAAAACATTCGTTCCTGAAATCAAACTAGATGTCGCAACCATGACAACCTTTCCGGTTTTCTTTCAAGTTTAAAAGTAAATTATTTTCAAAACTCAATAAACAAGTCATATTCTATTTGTATTTTTTCGTTTTTGTATTGATATCTAAGTTTCGAACTGTTCATATTTCAGTTTTTTAATATATTAATTAAAAGGAACGGAAATTACTGTTTTTGGATTAAAATGTCAATGAGGAAGTATTTAAAAAATTGAAATCATTTCTCCAAATCAAATTAGATGTCACTAGCGATTTTCGGATAATTGTCTATGACATTCATACAAATTTTCTTTCTGACGTAATAAAAGTAACTTGAGTATCAAAAATTAATAAATATGACATAGTTTACTTTTTCTTATTATATCTAACTTTCAATTAAATTTATTTTATTTGAATCGTATGTATAAGTTATTTATTATGTTATGTGTAAAGGATCGATGTTTGGTTTATATGTCAACATTAGGGATGATCGATATTAGAAAAACATCGATGTTGACATCGGTGACTACATCGTAAGCCCAACATCGATGTGCGACATTTATCGAAAACTGAACATCTATGTTGTTTTTTTACAAAGAAAAAAAATACAGTCGATCTTTCGAAATTTATTAGGAAACCGAACAAATCATTACATATTCCAATATTTTATATCAACTGATTGAAGGAAAACTAATTTTGATAAGGAAGAACTTTTAATCTATTTCTTTATTGATAAAGAGTCAAACAAGCCAACTTTTCTAAACATGTATGTGAAATATGTATTTCAAGATAAATGTATGTTACATACACAAAAATTCGGTTTTCATTTTATAAAAATTTCGATGTTTTTTGTAATATCAATTAATTTAAATTGATAATAATATTTGACATTTGACTAATATTTAAATGCTGCATTGGTCTTTCGTGAGGCCCTGAGTTAACATTGATGATTAATTTTTTAACATCGATGTTAAGACTTTGATTTTTTTTGCTTTCAACATCGTTGATTATCCAAAATCGATTATCCCTATTTTGAAATATGTAATAAAAAAGAGTTTAGTAAGAATTTTACGAAAGAAGTCCCACCGAATAACTCTTATTCCTTTATAATAAAAGCGAAAACATTGTAATTCGAGGGGCTTCTTTCGTGAGACGAACTTTAGTTAGTTTAGCATAAGTCATCACTCATACATGCGAAGCTACCCGACACCGAAAAAAATCTTCTTAAACCTTTATTCCTTCAATGCAAAACAAAATCAGCAAGCAGTTAGTATCGTAATCTTCTTGAGGTTAACTTATTAATTTTTGTTCTCAAAATAACCTATAAAATCGTAGCAGTCATTGAAGTACGTTATCGGTTAATTATAGAGTACCGAAGAGCGCTGAAGTCAACAAATTTATTTTTAAGTTCTTTCAAAAATGCAAGCAAAGAAAATCTATTTGTTTGGTTACTCCAGTTACGAGTGCAACCGGTGAAATCTAGTGAAAAATTGTTGAACTTGATATACGAGATCATCTAGCTAGTACATCTAGAGCACGTTAGATGATCCTAAGGATATATTGATATTTTATTCATAAACATCGATGTTTGGCTAGAAAACATCGATGCGCCGATGTTATCGAAGTTAAATCATCGATGCTTTCTAGCTGAACATCGATGTTTATTAAACATCGATGAATATCGACCATCCCTAGTCAACATTAGTGATGTGCCAACTGATTGGTTGCTCGTAACTTCATTTCACGATTCATTCGAATTCAAGTTTGGAATGAAGAACAAAAAGCGGAATGCAAAATTTAGCTTGATAGTATTTTCATATGTGCCATCATGCATCCACCCACACGTCGAATCATATTGATATTAATATCAAAATCAATTCAGTCTAGGTTACATAGTACTTTGGGCGGTACGTCTTGAATGTCTCTGAGGCGTACCCGCGAGGGACCTGCCCTTTTCAGGGCCGAAATGGGGGCGAACCGCGCGGTGTATGTCCTTCGGGACGATCTCGTGCATTCGCCTTCCATGCGAGGGACATCGCTGAGTTTTAGTGGGTATACTGTTTCTTGTCTAGCCCAGTCGGGGGTGGGGCCGCAGAGGAGTCGTGAAGCCCGCGCTGGATGTAGCGGGTATGCGTAACGCATTTCTCAGCGTCAAAAAAAATAAAAGGTTACATAATACTTCTGACAGTCGGAAACAATGCCAACGGTTCTCAAAACTACTGCGGAAGACCTTGAACTGAGAGAACCGGCAAAAAACTCAACAAGGGCTGCTTTATTTCACATCTCCCTGTTTTATTTCACAGAGAAGTTTTATTAGAATGTTATTTAATAGACTAGGAAGTCATTTTCCCTTACAATATCAGAAATACCAAGATAGAAATACCAGATATCTTTCGATTATATTAATCCTCCGCTTGATCCCCCGTCAAATATAAAAGCAAATCAATTTTTTCTTCTTCTGATTTCGAAGAAACTTCAGTTATGGAAATATATCTTTGAAATCGTTTTTTCCATTTATTCCAGTTTTCAGGTTTTTAAGTCAAACGGCCCCGGCGGCGTCACTTGTGCAGTCGAACAAATGTTAAAGATTTGTTGCGCCATGGTTTCTTCTTCTTCTGTGCCCATTGCTGCCACCATGTACTATTAGTGAAACTACTTTTAGTTTTATTGTTATAACTTTGTATTTGTAGCTTTTACAACTTTACTTCTTATACTCTAAATACTGCCTTAACTACGCCATCTTGTTGTGTGTTCCCCGCTCTCTCTCTTATTGCCAGCTACATGACACAACAAAATATATTACTTATTAAGTACCCAGAGTAGTCATGCTCTCTTAAAATCTCTGCAGTTGTGTCGTGTACGTCGGGTGGTTACGCGAAGCGATGGCTAGCTCATGCATCAAGCTCGTCAACGGATGGATGCTGCATGCTGCCTTATTTTCGTCCATTTTCTTTCGTTATGAATATTGTTTAGCGATTTGATAATGAGTATGTAGGATTTCTGATATTGTAATGAAATGTGACTTCATAGTCTAAGTCACATTCCAAAAATACATTTCTGTATTAAATAAAACATGGAAAAAAAGCAGTCCTTGCTGAGTTTCTAGCCGGTTCTTCTCAGTACAAGGTATCCCGCCTTAGTTTTGCGAACCGTTGTCAAAGTTTTCGACTTTCACAAGTACTATATAACAAGGAATTGATTTTGATATTTATATCAATATAATTCGACGTGTGGATGCATAATGGCATATATAAATACTACACATAAAAAAAACAAGCTGGATAAAAATTAATTTCAAAATTAGAAATTATCAGAAACACGAATCGATGTAATATTTATTAATTTTTGATACTCAATTTACTTTTATACGTCAGAAACAAAATTTGAATGAATATGATAGACAATATTCGAACATCGCTAGTGACATCTAGTTTGATTTCAAGAACAAATTTTGTATTTTTTAATTACTTCCTCATTTAGTCATAATATTTTTGTGCTATGTACGTGTGTCGCTGTTATTCGTTTTATACACTATGGTGGCCGCAAATATACGAATACGAGTTAAGGAGTATGCAATTCCTACTATTCGAGTTAATACCTATCTCAAGCTGCTACATCGCTATGTTATCTATGACATTGACAGTCACATTTTTTATCAATTTGTTTCATTCATTCGATTTCAGTAAAGTGATTGCGGATATTTTCGCAATAGCAATTTTTAGTTATTTTAATATCGTATTTAAGGCTTTTAATGAATTGAAAAGTATTGTTTCACTCTGATATATAAGAACAAGAAAATGAATAAATTTATTCTTAATTAGAACTGGTTAAAAACTGCCATCAAGTAGACAGTGCAGAGCTTTCGACCCGCAACAGTGAGTTTATCGAATATTTGACACGCTCATTAACATACAGATCTGTCGCTCAATATCATTTTGTTTACTTTTTAGACACGTACATAGTGCAAAATGTTTGCGAGTCTGAAAAGCAAAATTAAAGAGGAGACTGGGAGTGATTTAAGCAGATTGACAAGCAGCTGGAGGAGTGGTGCCTTTTTAGGACGCATGAGTCTTCGAGATGATACCGTAAGTTGGGACAATCATAAAAACATAGAAAGATAATTTGAGAAAGATATTACAAATGCTTGTGTTATTCCAGTCTACAGCCAGCCCATCAAGTTCTGGTGGGCCTGCTGAATCCTCTTCAGATGTAAGTAGACTTTTAGATAATTGTAAATATTCTCTTGTTTACAGAGAATCATATTTACGAATGTAAATCTATTGATAATATGAATAAAGATGCAATAATTTAATCAAAGTTTACTATCAAAACAATAGTGAAGTCATTAATTACAATAATTAAAAATGTAGTTTAGCAGTTAATATAATAGAACAACATCAAAATATATAAACAATGCAGCTATCAAATTGTAGATACACATTAAAAATCTAATATGCTATGGAGGGTACTCTACAGTGAGTTATTGATAGGTCAAACAATTACACTGTCCTCATCCTTTGAGGCAAATCCTAGTGCATTATCAAATAAAAGTTCAGTTATGCCAATTTAATCAAAGTATGTTAAAAGCAATTATTAACTTTCTAAATAGTTTGATGTTTAAAATAAATTTAAAATTTAAGTTAATGTCAAATATGCTTTCAGTCACTATCACCACAGTTAGAGTCATACTTGACGGAGCGTACAGGTGGTCATATAGATCAAACAACCCTCCAGCAGCAGTATTCTGGGCAGTTGGAGGATAAACTGCGAGAGAGAGATGCTTACTGGCAACAAAAATTAGAAGAACTGAAGAATTCCCTTTCTTCTGTTCAAGGTGAGATTTTAATAATTTTTAAACAAGTTTTAATGTTTCTGAAATGCAATATAATATTTTCATTTTTATTACTTTTAAAAAGCATATACCAATCATATTGCAGCTGCCATTCAACTTTATAAAAAAATCTTAGAAACCAATTTTTTTTGGTTTTGTGATGTTAAGAAATCTGAGGATTATGTTGTCAATTGTTATCAATATATGTCAACAAAACAGCAAATATCAATTATTAAGTTCAGAAAGACATTAGAAGGTGCATTTTGTTTATGTATGTATGTTTTAGATCTTTAATATAGTAAATCTGCATAGTAGAATTGGTTGCTAAGCAGGTATTCTATAAGCATAGAGATTATATAAGAAAATATATAACTACAGAATTAACAAAATAGTCTGACACAATTTTTTAAGGAAAATATTTGATTATGAATATTTTATGCTTTTGCTATCTCATAAAAAGGACACTGGCATGTGTTTTTCATAGTCCAGAAATTCCCAGAGACAAGTTTTTAATGACATTGAACTTATTGAACATCAAACTTAAAATTTTACTACTTGAATTGACTCTTGGTTTCATGCTGTATTTTAAATACTGTAAAATGTCACTTGTACTTATCACTTTTGACTTAATTTTTTATGCATTCAACCTTGAGACAAGTGGTAAACTGAACAGAATAAACTTAACAACCAATTAGATAGTATAAAGCAACAAAACATTACAAACATACTTTGAGTAATGCTATTTAACAAGCTGTGTTTTGTAATCAAAATTGGTTGTTAAAACAAACTGGAAAACTGCCAACTTAATTGTTATAAAAATATATTATGAAATATGTTGGGAATGGTCTTATTTGTAAATAATATCTCTTATATATATAAAATATAACAATGTAGTATTTTTAGTTTTGAAATAAATTTTAAATGGGAATATTTTATTTGTGCTTGCGATATATAATCAGCACATGGGTGATTATGTCATCATGAAACATCATATTTCAATACACCAAAAGTATATTGTGAGTGCAATCCACCAAAAGACATGTCAAAGTACTAACATGAAACGAAATATTAGGGGTTAAAGTATGATATTGCCATTTTATTGTAATAGGTTCCTTGAATTGGCATAGAATCTTCATGGTTTGAGGTTTTCCAAAGAAAGTCTTTTCACATAGTTTCTATGATGTACTTCTATTATAAAATGTGAAACATTTGAATATCGACTTTAGATCGTTTTTGTTATTAAACTTAGATAAGAAAGATGGATACTGCGAAAATTCGAGTGATTTTTAAATACGAGTTTCGACGCGGAAGTAAAGCGGCAGAATCAGCCCGTAATATCAATGTTGCGTTTGGAGATGGGTCTTCTAATGAACGCACCGTGCTATTTTGGTTTAAACGTTTTCGTGATGGAAACTTCGACTTGAAGAACAACCCATGAGGAAGACCGCCCACACAGGTGAATAACAATGAATTAAGAGAGATGGTGGAAGCCGATCCTAGTCAAACTACCCAAGAATTAGCGACATGATTTAACGTTACCTTATCCACAATATTGACTCATTTTCGTCAAATCAATAAACTAAAAAATAAGAAAAATTAGTGCCTCATGATTTACTGATCTGAAGAAAGTAACGCGTGTTGAAACTTGTGTTACCTTGTTGAATCGGTACAGAAATTAATGAATATTGGCTCGAATTATGACATGTGATGAAAAGTGTATTCTTTATGATAACCGTAAAATAATAATGCACTGGCTGACCTCAGGTCAAACGCCACAACAGTGTCCTAAAGCAAAACTTACCAATAAAAAGGTAACGGTAACTGTTTGGTATTCACTATAGTTTTCTCCGATCTGGTTAAGCAACAACGGCAGATGTCTATTGAGCCGAACTCTGAACAATGTTGGCAAAATTAGCAGTAAAACAGCCCCGACTCATGAATCGATCTTCACCATTATTCCTCCATGACAACGCGAGACCTCATACAGCACCAGAAACTATTTTGACCTTCCAGAAACTACACTTAGCAACCATTCGTCATCCTCCGTATTCGCCAAACCTTGCTCCAACCGACTACCATTTTTTTCGTGATTAGACAATTATCTACGTGACAAGAAGTTTTCTTACCAGGAGGCAGTACAAAATGCTTTCACACAGTTTGTGCAGTCTAGATTTTCAGAGTTCTATTGTAAAGACACAAATGGCCTTCCTATTAGAGGGCACCGACGTATATAGATAATAATGGTAACTATTTTGATTAAATAAATTTTGATTTTCAGTACAAATCGGAAATTTCATGCTTTAACCCCTATTATTATCAAAATATCGTTAAGATGTCCATATCCTTCGAACTCTTGAGCTTCGAATGCCGACGTAAGATAACTGATATTCTCTTTTTACGTAAAATTTTTGAATAGTTATATTGATTGCCCTGATTTATTACGTCAAATAAACCTAATGTACCATACCAAATGGCTCGATCTTCAAGATACCGACCTTTTCGCGTGAAAAGATTCAGAACTTAGGTCACTTCACACAGATAGTTCTATCGACTATCAATAGAATACAAATACATTATAATCAATTTTTACACTCGATGGATCATCACAATGATATGGGCATGTCATATTCACTGCATATTTAATTTTATTATTATTATTGCTTTTTGTTTTTTTTTTATACCTACTCAGTTCTCAAATTCTGCAGGTGTAAAATAGCTTCTGAACTAAACATCATCTTATTGTTATTTTTACTTTGTTTGTTTGCTATAGGTAGGTACATGTAGTGACAACCTGTAATTAAAGCAGCACTAACGTATCTTACTGTTGTAAGCTTTATTATCATATGGTTGTGGTGTATGTTTTGTTGGTTGTTCTTAATTAAATAAATTATCCTATGGCTAGAATCAAAGAAAAACAAATCTGATACTGATACTGGTTTAATATAATCAAATGAAAGTTTACTACTACTTTTCCCAAAGCAGTCAAGTAGCCAATTGAAAGTGTCCCAAAAGTAAAGTTAAAATAAAAAAAAATGTTTTTTAAAATGTTTTATTTATTTGTGATCAAATTGATTCATAACCAAAAATATAAAACCAATGTTGCTTCTTTATTAAGGCGAAGAAGCGGCAGCAGCCCAAGCTGTAGCTCGAGCAGCTCAAGCAGAAGCGGCGAAAGCGGCCAGTGAGCGAGATGCAGCCGAGAAACAAGTGAACGAACTACGTGGACGAGTTGCTGCACTCGAGCGTGCGCAGGATAGGCTCGATACTCTCACGGTTAGTGTTCGGAATTAAATATTTATGAATATTCAAGAAACTGGGAAGATTGAACACCGCTGTTGAATGCGATATAGGCACCTGGTGTCGAGTTGGGAAAACACTTCGCCATTTAGAAAGAATGTATATCTATAATATTAATATTATAAAGAGGGAAAGTTTGTAACTTTGTTTGTAGTAAATAATCTTCGGAACTTCTAATCCAATCATAAAAATTCTTTCGCTTGTGGGGTACAACATCACACATCGGTGACATATGATATAGGTAGAGTATAGTAAGACTAGTGTTGCGCCAGTTCAGCGAAAGATATATTTCGAAACAGTAAAAGTCGACCAATCGGAATCATTCAAATAATGTTTCATGTGTTATTTGTTATTTCAATGTGTTATTTTATACCTTATGGTGATGGAAACAAGATTCTTGATAAATTTTAATCGTCCATTCGGTCATCGTTTGAATAAGGATAATGCTTAGGTAAAAAAAGAAATTCTATTTAGTCCGATAATAGAAACATATTACATATGTATTTTTTTGCTTCTATTTAACAAAAAAATTACTTAGATAATAGGCATTAAAGTTGGGGAGTGGGGGCTCGCTACGTCATAACTACATAGAAAATGTACAAAGGTGTGATCTCATCCGATATTTCAACTCAATGTATCCCCCGTAATTTATTGATTATATTTTTTGAAATTAAAATTAAATTTATGAATTTATTGACAAAATAAAAAAAGTTATTTGTTTTATATTCTTTAATCTACCCGATCAATAAACATCAGAATAGTTGGAACTCACAGTAATGAGTACTATCTCTTTCGAATAGGAGGAGCTAGAACAGGCGCGTCGCGAATGGGCGCGGGAACGTAGCGAGTTGGCAGCATCTGTTAGCACGTGGGAGGGTCGCTCGCGGGATTTAGCTGATGAAGTAGCGTTAGTGAGAGCTGCTTTGCCGCCTTCAGAACCATTGCATCGCGTTCACGAAGACGGTCAGTATCTAGTGTGTTGGTTCTTAACCTTTTAAATAAAAGGGACTATTTTTTGTCTTGCGATGGCAACGTACGCGAGGAGGGAAGAATTTTATTAATGTTTTTTTTTTCAGTTTCATAAGTCCTTGGAGCCACTTGCTTTATATGTTTTACCTAATTTTAGTATCTGTTATAAAATAAACATTACATCTAATATATAAAATTATCATGTCACGGTTGCAGTTACCGTACACCTGCAAAATGGTGATTGATTTCGATGAAATTTTATATGAAAATTCAGTAAGTCTTGAGAAAAGTATGTTCTCTATTTTTCTATACTCCTAAGTGAAAAGTGTGATCGACCCTAATTGTATATCGCAAAACGAAATTTGGAGAGTACGCTAGTTATTATGAATGCGAAAAGGGTTGTCGCATTTTGTGAAGCAAAATTTCCTGACATTCGGTTAGTAATCAGAAATAGGGACAAATAGCGTAATCATTATGGGATGCTTCCTGATCCCATGTGGTTTTAATATTTCGAGTTCCTCCATGCTTCAAGAGGTCATAAGCTGTTAGTAGATTATAACCCAATATTCGATCCGTTTTGGATCCATTGTTAACGCCAGTGCCTTAGACTAATGATGTATAGTATAAAATATACTCCTCCGTGCTTCGGAAGTCATAAGACGTTAGTAGGTTCATCCGTTTCGAATCCATAGTTAATGCCAGTGCCTTATACTAATGATGCATGATAATTTGCCTTTTAAATTAGACAAACACTCTCTGACCCCCACCGGATGTGAGGATTACGACCGCGTGTGTCGTGAACGCGCCGTCCTCTCTCGACAGTTACAGGAGGCCAAGATGGCGTTGGCCGACGTTAAAACATCCTGGAGTGGACAGATTGCCTCACTAGAAACCCAGGTCAGTTATGTTATCTACCTTTTGACATCACCACTGGTTATTCTGTGGTACAATCTATATTAAACTTTGTTTGACTCTTAATAACTTAGATAACATAAGTAAACTTATTATAGTACACACGGCTGCAATATGTCAGTATTCCTCGACTTTGAACTCTACATACAATGCATTATGGTTAAGGCGTGATGTGCCGTTGAATGAAACAAAGAGTTCAAATAGTTCTTGAATTACATGTGACAAAAGAATAAGCCCAAAATTTGACATATTCTGGTAGGTTTTTTATTACAACTGAATTGGCATCACTGACTTGTTCAGTGATAATTCTTATTGATACTTGCTTTAAGAATATTTTTCTAGTTATTTGGCTTAAGCACAAGCGTTATCTAAATATGATAAAACTGTAGTAATCTACCTTTTTTGATACTGGGATGGCAGTTAATTGTTCAAAATTTCAACAAAACAGTGAAACGCTCAAGTGATATGTAATCAATTACTAAACGGTAAGACCGTCACACTTATTTGCATGGTTTCTTATGCATGTGAGTGATCATAAAATTTCATACAATTCCGTGAATCCTAATAATATATATGTAAATATACACGTGCACTGTATATCATAAACCAACTACTTATTAATTGGTTGAAATAGCTTCATAAATGTATATGATAGGCAGTGGTTTTTGTGCTATTTAATTATTTAGTTTTATTGAAACTTGATATAAGATTTGTTAGCTTGTGTATCGCTATTGTGAAACAGTGTATTCGAATAGGTGGCGCGACTATCGCGACAAGCTGGGGAGGAGGGGGCAGAAAGAAGGAGAGTGGAAACGGAAAAGAGAGAGATGCAAGAGAAACTTATCAATATGGTCACTGAACTAGAAAAGACTAAACAGAACCTCATCAATAGTGAAGCTAAGGTAATTATATTATTATATTTCTGTTAAAATAATTTTATGCAGTAGTGCCTAATCTACATTTTTTAACATTTCAAATAACAACGCTTTGTTACTGATAAATCAGCATGTTTATCTCTTTATGTGACTGCAAACTGGACATTTTCATTCTACACATTATAGTGCTGTTAATTGAAATCATGATCAGGGCGAAAAGTTAAAGAGTGATTTGCTATTTAAAAACTAATATATGTTCGGAAAAAAAAGTTTACTGTTAATGAGCAGTTTTCAATGAGCAGAAACTGGAGAAGAAACTAACTTGTAATCAATTCGCTTTTGCAATTGTTAATCTCAGCATTCATAGGTTCTTGTAAAAGTCACCTTTGAGGGAATATAATTATTTTCAATTCTTATTAACAACATATAAAATTGAGCATATATTCAAGTTACTTGATAAAGGTGTGCCGTTGGCATTAAGTATTTGAGTTCAGTCAAGATTTCTAATTAATATAATAAAATTAGCTGTAAATCAGTATTTGCTACAATATTTTACTTACAAAACCAAAATATACTTTATGTTAATTAAAACAAAAGACGGCTGCATAATTGTAATATGAAAATAATAATCCTCTTCATTTGTAACGCTTAAAACATATCGGTTTTGATCTAACGTCATTCAGTTAGGAAACATTGCAAATGTTACATTGTTGCTGCTTAGAAAAAAAAACCTAATGTGTAAGCTGGAAGAATAATAATTAATTGAAATATTACAAATTGAGTCAATGTCAAGCAAATGATATTTCATAAACTAAAATGAACGGTTTTGTGTGGGCCTATATTTTGATAAGATTTTGGATAGATAATGGACCATATTTAAATTTTTCATCATCGACGTTTTCTTATTCTAAGCAGTCAGTCTAGTTCATAACAGAAAACGTACATATACGTTTTCTGTTCAATATAGATATCGTTTTCAATCTTTTTTTTATTTACGATTCCTAGGTCAGTTATTCGATTTCCTTATTAGCTGTACCATCATTCTGTTTTATTTCTTTTTGAATACATAAAAAAATATAATATCAGCCAGTTGCAAAAACGTCCATTAAAATTGTCATTAGTTAAAGTGACATTTCCGATACTAATTTGACATTCATTAGAGCTTAAAGCCGTCATTAAGCCTTAATGGACGTTTGTGCAACTCACCGTATGTCTTTCATCTATTAAATATCAAATTGGCATTGCCAATACCACTCTTTGCACGTAGAGAAAGAGACGCTTTAAAACTATATAATATTAAAAAAATATAATAGTAGATTAATTAAGTCCAGACTCTAAAGCAGATACAGGACAATATTGTTCGTATTGTAACCGAACACGACTGATGGCATAGATATTCAACCTTTTTTTAAGTAGAACGAGATGATTAGAAAATAAAATAAATGCGGCATGATATTGAAAAGTTGTCAATTGATAACGACAATTGACTTATGATTTTTGTCGACGGGGTTAAGGTGGTGCGCTTGAACGGGGAGGTGCGTTCCCTAGCGATGGAGGTCAAGTCCCTACGCGGCGCGGCCAGTCACGCGGCCGTGAGTGCCAGCCTCTACAGCATTTAGCTATTGTGTAGCAGCACCCTTAGAGAAGGCAAAACTTAGATAGCGCTCTATATAGTTTGCTCACGGTGTTAAATCAGTGATAGGAGTAGTATATTTTAGCTAATTAGGATGTGTTGTCTTAGTATGGATATGCTTTGGGACCTTGCCTTTTAATGTCAATTATTAGTAGATTAATTTTTGCGTCGGATCCCTTAGTAGGCAGACTTAACCGGGACAAGTATTTATCGCTTCCTTGATGTTCATTATTAATTATTATTTCATTCTCGCCAGTTATAACTTTCGATAAAACGTAGTCAATATAATCGTGGAAGATGAGTCTTGGCTTCTATATCCTTTCACTTTTCACAATCACTTTCTTTGTGCTTTAAACAAAGTCTAGCTACGGCTTTTGATATTTAAAGCGTATTTAACCCTTGCATTGCTATTTCACATCTACATTAACATATACGTTTGAAGTTATGGATTCTGTTGAACTTTTACTTTGTTGTTTTTTCTAATTTTGTTTAGTTTTTTTATTAACCATGAATTTATAATTAATAACAAATATAAGTTTAATTAAAAGCCATACCACTTAGAAGTCCTTGGTCCATATAAAAAAATCTTACTTTTTTTAAACGAAGTGGCGTTCTGGGAAAATATTTGGAATGAATCATTAACGACCAACAAAGGCGCTGAGAACGAGTTAAAGAATAAAATCGGAGCTGAAGAAAGCTGTTTTTTTTTTCTAATATAATATAATAAATATGTGTATATGGAATAAATAATAAATTTTTTTTTTCTAAATTTTATATAGAATCCTGAGCGTAAGAAACAGTATTACTAATCGCCGAATTATATGTTAAACGATGGTTAAGAGAGATTGATAGAATAGAAATTAGTCATTTTCGAGTTTTCATTGAGCTTATTTGGCACTGCGAGTGCATTTTTTTTGAAGTGCGCTATCTTCGTATTGCTCGTTCTCTATGGCGGCGCACGATATATTTATTTTAATTTGTTCGTATAATTAAAATATCAGACAGTTTGTCAAGAAAGCAATTAAAGCACAATATCGCGTGAAATGCTTTCTCGAATATTTTTCTTGTTTATATCATAGCTTATATAGCAACAGTTTATGTTTAATTAATTTAGCAATGGTTTTCATTTAATTTGTCAAATTTTATACTAAATGACTCTAGTCTAAAATAATCTATTATGTTGCGTTAAAATGTTTTTGTGATATATAATTGTTAATATATTTAGTGTTTTATATGAAAACAAATTAATTTTGCTATTATAGAATATATAGCGTGCTATTTTTCACGCGATTATCAAATTAGTAAAGTATATGTATAATTGAAATGATATTTACAATTAATAAATCAAATATAATAAGGATTATTTCTAAGAAAGGTAAGTGTTTTTAATGTTAATTATTGTTTGACGATCAGAAATGTTTATGGTTTTACTGTGAATTTATCTTTTATAAAAGCTTTGGTGTTTTGAAAGTATATTTTTTTATAACTATAAAAGCAATGCCAATTTTTGGAAATGTGTGCACCAAGCTTTATGTTGCAACTGTTGGATTGTATGATCTCTTAATATTGTTGTTATTTAATTTGGTATCGATAACATATTGATAGAGAACATCACGTGATGACGTTAATCGTGACGTCGTATATTATCGGACTTTATCGTCAGTACGGTGACACAGGTGTAACGATAACCATTGTCGGTAATGAAACATATTGACTCAGTATTTATTAGTGAAGTTTGGAAAAAAAAGTAATAATATAAAGTAAGTTTTAATACATTGGCAACCTTTATTTTAAACACTGAACATTCCATTGTTATTTTAGGTCTTAATTACATTTTTATCGGTAGAAAAAAAAAATTATTATTGTTTTGACAGTTTGCGAAATAAATAGTTTTTTTTAGTTTGTGAAAACACTTTTTTGATTTACCCCAGAGTGCATGGCCTTGCTGTTGATTAACATACTAACAAAATGCTCCTCTGCATGTTTCATTATTATGTAAGCTGAGATAACGTCAAAGACACAATTTAATTTAAGGAAAATGTTATGGCTCATATTATGTTTTTAATGCTCTTTGGCGTTATACCTTTTTAATGAATAATAAATTACTAAATCTCGTTTTACAATTACTATACAATAATAATCAGCGTTTCTCAACCTCGCGGATGGTACTGGGATGGCCCGCTGGAATATTCTTAACATTAAGAGACAATTAGTTTTTCATTCCTGACTCTAAATTAATAATTTTTTATTATGATGTCAATTTTATATATATTTATAATTTGGATCGCCAGCCAGAATGGTTGACTAACGCTGGTTAAATAATAATAATAATTTACTTTTAATTGTTTAAATAATTAATCACATTTTATGCATAGGTAGGTTTAGGTTTAAGACGTTTATTTCTCAAAAAGAATTACATATATTCACTAACATGAGAAATACAGACATATCTATAATGCTTTGCTGGTAATAAAAAAAATAGGTATGCATGTGATATGAACATTTGGTAATAGTACATTACGATATTAGTGCGTTATGATGGTTATAACATGCGAGGCGGAATTTCAGCCGGAGCCGAAGGCGAGGGCGTAATTGAGCCGAGCATGTTATAACCAATACGCACGTATATCGTACGACATTTTTTTACACATTTGCGAGGAAACAGAAAAAAAAAACATTAAATAAACTCAATCTGTGAATGTACACTGTTGCTTTCCCGCCATTTTAACAGCTCGCTAGCGCTGCCTACTGACTGGCGCTGCGAGGCGATTAGTTCGAAATTTGAATAGCAACAGCGCGCGACATGGCAAATAATACTTTTATCGAATTTGTATGGACTATAACTTAACTATTTGCTTTGGTAACACGCGTTTTTTATGACCCGTTTTACATATTTAAAACCAGTGGAATTACATCAGCTTTACGAGCAAAGGTGTTAAAAAGAAAAGTTACAGTACAATAAATTATAATTGTATTAATGCAAAATTATTGTGTATGAATTTATGTTCATTAGTGGAATAATACCTCTTTGTTTGCTGCACGCTTATTGATTATTTGCTTAACTTGTTCAAATGTTTAGTTATATCTCTATTTTGTATTTTTAAATAACTTATATAGTTTGTCGTCGAAATAGTACAGTATAATAAATAGATACAAAGTACGTAATAGTTGCTTTATTATCTATGTCATAGACATTCATATAAGATTAATAAGACAAGATTTTTCAATAAGTGACGTTGGGTTCTCTTTAATCTGTGGTTACTTTTCGTATTATTTTTTGGTAGGGTTAAAGTTAATTATTTTGTGATAAATTTATAAAATTTGTTTAATTCAAACGTTGCTATTCAGTAAAAAATAACAGACATATTTGATTATTATATTCGATTAATTTTACATTAACAATGCTATACTGGAAAATATGTTTAATGAAAAATGCTTAAAAAATTCACTAGCCCTGCGATTCTGTAAAAATCGAAACATTCACTCTCTTAATTCACTTCAAAAAGCGGCATCCGCTTAATCTTGAATTGTTAATAATGACATGAAGTGAGTTTCGAAATGACATACGAATAGAATATCTAAGACATGTATACTCAATCAATTTTGTTTTGTATTTTTTATACAAAAAATGGACTCAAAAGAATTTCTTCACTAAATGACGTGAATTCAGACACAGTGAATTCGAATTCGGGTTCGGATTTTTACAGAATCGCCCTGCAGTCCTAGGTACTCTGAGATGGGACTTGAACACACGACCTTTCGCAATCCGGGTGACGGCTCTAACCACTGACTACCACCCAGGACTCAACAGGACTGTCGTCGCCCGGATTGCGTAAGTTCATGGGTTCAAGTCCCATCTCACAGTACCTGGTACTGTCCTGCGATTTTGTAAAAATCAGAACCCGAATTCGAATTCACTCCGGTGTCTGAACTCACTTCATAAAACGGCATCAGCTCAATCTTGGATTGGTAATAATGTTTCGTGGCATAAGTAAGTTTCGAAATGACATAGGAATAGAATATCTAACAGCCAGTTGCGCAAACGTCCATTAAAATTGTCATTAGTTTAAAGCGACATTACCCATACAAGCTTAAAGGCGTCATTAAACCTTAATGGACGTTTGTGCAACTGACCGTAAGAGACGTATAATCAACCAATTTGTTTTGTATTTTTATACGAGTATTTAAAAAATGGAATCATTAGAATTTCTTGACTACATTACGTGAATTAGGACATATGAGTGAATTCGAATTCGGGTCTGGTTTTTTCCAGAATTACAGGGCTGATGAACTTTGTAAGCATTTTTCATTAAGAAGACATATTTGAGTATTAATCCGAATCATTTATTTTACGTGATTTCATTCAATTGTAGAATAAAATTTTCAGGAGAAAAATATGGAGCTACAGAGTCGTATAGAAGCACTGACGGAGGAAAATAAAGAGTTGTCAGCGGCATTGGAAAGGGAACGCGAGCTCGTGTCGGCCCTCAAGGAAAAGGTGGAATTGTCGGGGCGGTGCTGTGACGAACAGTCGGCGGAGGTGAATCATCTCAACTCCCTCGTCACCGATATGCAACACGACTACGTCGACATGCAACGGAAGTATGACAAGTAAGTACGTCTACGTATACGTATTTCTCTACTCAATATATAAGGAATGGTACGTATTGTTTAAATAAGCAGTTACCAAGCATCTTTCATTCACCAAGCATTATTCTTTTCGCTTTTGTTGTCGAGTTCATTTTACAACTTCAGTCTTGTTTATTTTAATAATAAAAACATATATAATAATTTAGCTACTTGTGTACATTTTTATTGGCCTCTGACTGTTTTATGTACCGATAAAATAGAGTAGAGCGTAGCAAAGTAAAGGAAAATAAATGACTCATTGTTTATTCTGTTCTGATGTCATTATGATTTTTGTGATTTCTCATAGGTGTACGACTGATTAACTATTCCTACGGATTCGCTCACGATGATCGCGACTTCATTTCAATTTATGAAATTGCGGTCCTATTTAATAAATACCAAGCACTAGTTGGACCTGGAATAGTGTAATGGTGACCTGTTATAGATAAAGGAAATATATTTATAATGTCTTTAACAATATCAATTAAAAAAAAATTCTAAGTAATTTACTAGATGCGTACCGTAATTTACCTAATGAATTATAATTATAAAGAATGTAATAGTTATTTAAGTATATAAATGTATGTTTTTGTTTAATTTGTGTTTGCAGTATGTACATGTGAAGGGTCGCAAACTTGATAACTGTAAAACATACTTTTAATTTGTATTTTCACCCGGTTGTCACCTGTTTTGTACATCTTAATAAATAAATAAATAAATAGATATGCAAAACATCACATGACTAGTTTTTAGGTTACGCGGTACAGAAAGCGATGGATTAATGCCCGTTTGACGGTGAAAATGTCCTGTTCTAGAGAGAAACGTGAGAAAGATGAGGCGTTATTAAGAAACGCCCACATGTCGCAGACTATAGAGATGAGCCAGTGCAACGTACGATACCAGGAGGTGGAGATAAACGAGCTCAAAACTAAAATAACAGAACTCAACTCCCTTATAGCTCAACACAAGGAGGTAAGTTCAGTTCAATCAACTATTACTAACAACAACTAAGCTTAGTTTTACAAGAACACGAGAGTCATAATATTAAAATAACGGCTTTTCACTAATATAAAATAAAATAAACTGCATATACGGTATATATGAAAAAAAAAATTTTTTTGTCTGTCTATTTGTTCCGGCTAATCTCTGAAACGGCTGGACCTATTTTCGAGGCAGATAGTTTATGTAAAAAGAAATAACTTAGGATACTTTATTAAAAAAATATGACTTGTTAAAGTCAAACTAAAAATGAAAACAAGTTGTATTTAACTGGGCCCTCTGTACCCCAAAAGTACTCCTACTTTGTCCCCACATTGACAGGCTGATAATGGTAGAAAAATGTTTTATTTACAGAACCAAGCGGCTTGTATGCTAATAAAGCAAAACGAAGAGGCAAATAAGGCTGAAATAGAAGAATTGAAGAAACGAATAGAAGAACTCGGCGAAAACGAAGCAGCTCTAAAGAAAACGATACAAGACTTAGAAACTGAAATCTGTGATAAAAATAAGGTAAGATCGAAATTGACTTGGTAAATTGATTTGGTAATTTGGAGCTTCATTCTTTGGAATTTATACAACATAATTAGTATATTTGGAAATGGGAAAGACGATTTATCATTTTTTAGAAATGTCTTGATTGACAATATCATAAATTACGGGTGATTAAAAAGGTATAGAAATATATAGAGCTGTGTATTTATAAATTATTAAAAATTACGTTTCGTTCGAGTAGCTCGGTGTCGTAGTGGATAAGCGCCGCGACCCGCGATCGTTGTCGTTAAGCAACTTTCGCAAGGGTCGGTCACGGGATGGGTGACCAAAAAAAAAATTATCTTGAGCTACTCCGTGCTTCGGAAGGCACATTAAGTCGTTGGTCCCGGCTGCATTTACAGTCGTTAATACCCTCCAATCCGCATTGGCCCAGCGTAGAGGATTATGGCCCATCCTCCTTAACTATCCATAAGGAAGATGATGATGATGATGATTCGTTCGGAAGTGAAATTAATTAGTTAATAAGTAGAATAATCTATTTAAAAACCGATTTTTGATTTCTGGTGGAACAAATATATGAAGAGTTTTATGTGACTTTTTTTTAGAAAATAAAAACACTAGATAACCGAATATCCGACATGAAAAAGACGTTACAACGTGAACTTCAAAGTAGTAAATCAGATTTGACGACTGCGGAAGAACAAGATATAAGTAGAAGGTAAATGTTTATTTATTTTTGTAAATTTTACGACAGATGAAAATGGTTTAAACGGTTGATTGGATTAGAGCTTGCTAATAATAACGCTATTGCTTGACTATTGTAACTAGTTTTCTGTTAACGCCTTACACGATGACTAGAGATTAGTTAATTTATTCCACGGTAAATGTTTAGTGGGATAAAGCCGTATATCATATTTCATCAAAATCGGTTCAGTAATTTTTGAGTAAATGTATAACGAACATACATACAACATTCTTACAAACTTTTGCATTCACAATACTAGTAAATCATATTTTGTATATTTTTTTTCTCCAAACGTCGATCGATAATAAAATTATTAATTGTAATAATAACTCTATAGCGCTTAATTTTAAATTGCGAAGACCAATATGTGATGTCGAATTCGATATATATTCTTTAGTACATATAGATATTGTGTACAGGTATCTGAAGCACGTGGTGTTGCGTTTCCTAACTGCGCGTGAGTTAGAAGCGCGTCAGTTAACGCGCGCGTTATCAACACTGCTGAGACTGTCCGCACACGAGGAGGCGTTACTTAGAGCCGCGCTACCTCCACGTACGGGACTCGCCGCCTGGTTCCCATCACTCAACACCTGAGCATACGGTACGTCATACAACATACACTCAACATCTGAGCACGCGGTACGTTATACACCGTACACTCAACACCTGAGCACGCGGTACGTTATACACCATAAACTCAAAACCTGAGCACGCGGAACCTCATATACCGTACACTCAAAACCTGAGCACGTGGTACGTTATACACCATTCACTCAAAACCGTAGCACGCGGTACGATATACACCATTCACTCAAAACCAAAGCACGCGGTACGCTATGCACCGTACACTCAAAACCTGAGCACGCGGTACGTTATACACTGTACACTCAACACCTGAGCACGCGGTACGTTATGCAACGTACACTTAACACCTGCGCACGCGGTACGTTATACACCATAAACTCAAAACCTGAGCACGCGGAACCTCATATACCGTACACTCAAAACCTGAGCACGCGGTACGTTATACACCATTCACTCAAAACCTGAGCACGCGGTACGTTATACACCATTCACTCAAAACCAAAGCACGCGGTACGTTATACACCATTCACTCAAAACCTGAGCACGCGGTACGTTATACACCGTACACTCAAAACCTGAGCACGCGGTACGTTATACACTGTACACCCAACACCTGAGCACGCGGTACGTTATATATTGATATTATGATATTAATATTTTTTATATTAAAACAGATAACATTTTTCTTGTTTTACAGAATAAGAAAATCAACGTAAAGACTTAAATAAAGGTTGCCTGTCGCAACAAAACGGTAGATTGCACGTGCTTCTGTGAGTATAGACAATAAGAATATGTGCGAATTAATAATAAGTTGCCGTAACTAAAGAAAAGTACAGTAATTTTCAACTAATGGCGCATAGTAGACCAATCGAGATGACGACCTATCCAATTAAAATTTATATTGAGTATTTTTTGATTGCGTTCGAGAGTGAGCCTGCTGAAGTGATATTTTAGAAGATCGAATCACGAATCTTTAATTAAAATTAAAAGCTAAAATGTAACAAAACAACTTTGCATGCATCATTCTTTGTATATTTAGTCCTTTTTGAAAGTATGACACGATTATCCAATAGATATCGATATCAAATGAGATCGATTATTAGCAATATGATTCAGAACGCAGATCGATTCACGAGGTCACGGCATCCCTAATTGGTTGTTTACCTGATAGCGCGATCCTTGAGTCATTCTGATTGGCTGATATTTGTTTTGGTTATTTACCTTTATGCACAGGGTCTGCCATTTCAGTTGTATCTTACTATACACTTATACGTTTCGAAGCACATACGTTGAAGTAATCTCCAGGAATCATGGTTAAGTACTTAAGCAAATATTATACTTTGGCAAATAATATATGTACTGAAAATAATGAAGATAATTACGCTTTGTTACCGGTGCAAACCTTTCGTATAGTGTTGTAAGTTAGACATACGTACGTTATACAAAGTCAATTATTTATTTTTTATCAGAGACAGCAATTTTTAGTTTCAAATAATATTGGTAACAGCATCACTTTGTAAGAAGCCTTTAGGTCCGCCTTATATTCGCGTATATACACCAGCATTATATATTTGACAACCGGTAATGGATCATGTAAACTAATATTTACGAAACATTCCAATACAACATTGCAATAAGTACATATTATAATTAATTATTTACGTGTAAATTATTGTATGTATGAATATATTGTTTATTATAATATGTATATTTAAAACATGTTTTAAAATACTGCTTTAACTTGTATGTTCTTTTATCTCATTCTATGGGTACCTCACAGTGATCAATTTTATATGTCAAGGGGAGTGTCGTTTAAAATCTCGAATTGAATTTCTAAATTGAAATTTGGTAATAACAAAAAGTATTAATTAATGTATTATAGTATTATTTTTATAATGTTTTATTGTCTCTAGTCATTTGGCGAAGCCGTGATTTGATAGATTCGTTTTAGGTGATATTTACACTTTTATTTCGAACGTAAAAACATATTTATTGCACGCTGTCGTCTTTTTATTTTTATAGTATCTATTTATGATTGATATTACCAGTCGCGGTGTAAATCTGACGAGATACGACGAGCGTATCACTGAAGTATACTTTATTACGACAGACATATCGTCTGCCGTATGAAAGGTTGAATGTCATATCATGTAATGGTCAGTTCTGACGTTCACGGCGGATGTACGCGACTTATCTTTCATCAGATATGCACCGACTCTACTTATATTTGATTTCATGTTATAAATATAATTATGTACGCATCGTAACGTACCATCGGTAAATCGATGCAATTTCAACTGTATGCAATGGAAATACGGTCGAATGTTATTAATTCGATCCGTCGGACCCGTTAAGTTATTCCTTTAAGATAAAGAAACAAGCTTGAAACAAAATATTTGTAATATATAGAAATGTAATATAATTTAGATTTATAATTAATTAATATGATAAATAATACCAACACTGCCCTTTTGGTATGTAATAGTTGCCTTTAAAATTATCAACCAGGGTTTGACAATAACAAGTAAAAAATAAACAATGTGATTATTAACTTCATAGTAAACTGCATCTGCGTACAACCCTTTTTAGATTAAAATTTAACTTTCTATTGAAATGGTGCTATTCGATGATTATTGCGATCCTGGTTGATAGCTAAAACTTAGTGTTGCTATATGATAATTAATGCTAGATATGTATATACACGTTATTAATTTCCATAGTAGAATTTTATACTTATTCAACGCTTAATTATGGGACGCGCCCGTTGACTTTTTATTTCGCATCGATAATAATTAGAGTTTGTGTGTTGTTACCAACAAACATATTCTAATTATCTAAATATCTTAGGTTTGGTATATATTAATATTGAAAATACAAAACAATGAGTATTTCTTATTCTTCTATTTCAATTCCAATCACTCAAAGCTATATGTAGTATTATATATCTATATCTTCACGCCGTATCAATTGCGGAATATACACTCACATGCACAATTATCTATTTCTTTCAATTCGTAGAAATCTCCAAACTTAGACAATATTATATGAATGTTAAAAACTTTACTTAAAGAAAAAGAAACAACAAAAATATTGGAAAAATGTCTTATTAAAGGATGTTTACCAAAAATCGTTTTTTTGAAAATCTTCAATGAACATTTTCTAAATTTGGTTTTGGAAATAATTTAAAAAAAAATGTAAAAATTAATAGCGGGTGTTGCCACCTCTGGCTCTTGTGACTTCTTGGAGCCGGTATATCAATCCATCCATGATGTCTTGAATAACCGATTGGGGGATATTGTGCCACTCCTCTACCATAGCCGTTTTTAGCTCTCCTATAGTTGTAGGGACTGGTACTCTTGCTCGGACACGTCTATTAAGGTTGTCCCAAATGTTTTGTATTGGGTTAAGATCGGGACTAGACACTAGACACGCTGACATCCTTCTAGACCTCTCATCGGGAACAGTACGTTCTTCCATTCCTTTACAGTCCTGTCAGCATATTCTCGCGCAAAACCAGGTCAGTTGCGGAACGTGAGCTGGACGAAAAGCCCTCAAATTACTTTCTGCTAGTCTTCTTCTAATGGTACGTTCACTGAAACTGACATTTCTCACCTCAAAAAGACGCGTACGAGCTTTAGGTCGGAAAACGATTTCTCAACACATTGATGACAACGAAACGGTCATCTCAAGTCGAAGTGCATCGACCTGGACTGATGCCGGCCTTGACCTGGACTGCGGGTATATAAGCCTGTCTCCCGAAATCGTCTGATGGCATCTCGAGGTACACAAGAGTGTGCGAGCGATGCGACGCTGACTATACCCCGCATCAGCTAAAGTCACTGCCCTAAGCTACATCAGTTGCATCGAGTGACATTTTTTGCAATCACAAACAATGAGCAAATACTATAATTTCAAATTAAACATATTCACACTATGATAGAAAATAACAGAAAATGTTAATTCGGTAACACAACAGCAACTATGTAAAACTACTAAATTCCGAAAACAAGGGTTTTCGGAACATAAATTTAGGAAAGAAAATAATAGTGTTCTATTTATTGCTAGAGTACCCACTTAACATAAAACAAAACTGTTGATAAGCCATAGTTGATAGAACCAAACAGGGTGATGAATGATACAGGTGGGTGGTTAATTGTGTCTGTGAGTGTATAATCATTTATGAAATATATACCAGAGCATTATACTAACCTAACCTATCCAGCAGAATTACTAACGTTTATAAATTACGTTTGAAGTTGTCTATCAACATTTGCCGCGACCGTGACGTGAAACCTAAGATTTACCAAGTACATAATGATAAAAGTTCGAAGTAAACGATCGATCTTAGAAGAGTTCTAACTTTTACGATTAAAAGTTAACCTTAAGGTCTATTGAATTTCGGGCTTTTCCAGTAGCATTATGCATCGGGTATGAAACTAATGCCCGTTTTCACTAAACTTAGGAGTCACCCATATCTGACACCTAAATATTTGGGCATTATCAAAAGTAAAAATGCGTTTTACCAATGACAAGGAGCCACATAATGACATTAAGCAACGCTTAAAGTTAAGACATGCATTGTGCGGCGCCTTGCTCTGGGCATTTGTGTAATAAGACAGATATATTTATCTTTCTTTGGCCATAACGGATGTGTTAAGGGATAAAATAAATTAAGTAAGTGTTGAAAGTTTATTTTTTAGAAATAAGATATAAATAATTATATTTTTTAAATTTTCGGCCTCTTTATATATCGCACGTTGAGAACGATTGTGACACAATGCAAAAAATGCGATTTTGAGTAATGAGCATTAAAGTTCAAGAAATTGTAATCAGCTCCTCTAAACAACGTATCGTCACTACGCCACCTAGCAGTTTCTATGCAAGCTACGTTCACAGGGATCTTTGCATTTTAAAGTTTATAGGTAACAAAGAAAAATGTTGCCAAAAGTAAAAAATACGTCGTTTTTGGTTAGTGACATTGTCATTCTCAACGTGCGATATGGACAATGACAATGACTGGTGTAAATACAAGACCCCGTATAATTTGTCCTGTGTTATTACCTCAAAATATAATTTTTGTTATTGTCTCCTTACGTGTAAAGGCGACTAACGTGACATTGGAGGAAATGTATAAATGCAAATAGGCCATTCATTAAAAAAAAAGAAGAACTGAAGCTTGCAAAATCATACGACAAACGTTGCCTATCTTACGTTACAGGGTTGGTGAAACGACAAATCTGTTTATGCTATTCTTAATATTGATTTCTAGTTAAGCCATGCCTTGTTCTAGGTTAGTGAAAACGGGCATAAGTCTCTGAATAATAATAAAAAATCTAAGTCTTATTGGGTACGAGTAATAATTATTGTGGGTTTGAATTACATTGTTGTGGCTTTATGATTCATACTATCATTATTATAAGTCCCCTTATATATTTTATATTTATGATAATGAAATATTTCTAGTTTGGAAACTTTTAAAGTACCAAAGAACTCGGTTGTTGGTCGTAATTTAGTATCATCCGTAATAATAATAATATAGTTTGCAGTACATAAAGTAATATGTTACAGTAAGTTCCAACTAATATGGTTTTTGTTGTGAACAATTGTTTGCGCAGAGCAGGTCTACCACCGATTAAAATGTATTCAGAGTCTTGTTTCAATAATCATAAGGTGCAAAATACGAAGATGGATCTAAGTCACACTCGGTGGAATCCAATATACAAGCGCATGATGCGTTAGAATTGAATCTTTCTGATTGGCCAAAATTTATCACGCTTCGATTTTGGATTCTGCGCAGGTATATCGATGAGCCACATCAGTAGTGAATGACTGTAACGGTAAAACTGATCAAAGACAGATTTGTTACATTTGTATTAATTACCCGACTGCGCGACGCAAAGGAGGGTAATGTGTTTATGAATAATAATGTTTATGAAAATGATCTGTACATATTATATTTTAATCTAGTCTTATAGTGTGTTTGATCGCTTTAAATGAAAAGTTATTTGTTGTAATGTTTATTTATTAGTAAATGAAGAGTTTATTTTTTGTTTGTTCAGATTATTATTTACATTCCCTAAAACATGGTTTTAGAAATAAATTTTGGTGGGTTATTTTTACATGTAAAAATCACTTATATGTTGTTTTAGTCTCCACATTTTTTTTATTATAGTGAGAATATATTGATTTAAAATTTTATTGCGTTTTATTTAATGAACATTGTTAATTGCATTGATAAACCTTTGGAGACAATATCAATAGCACGTAAGAGTTTGGTAGCAATGTGTGTTGTTTATTTATTCATTCACGAATAAAGGTTAAATGAAACGAAAAGGTGTAATGTAGATATATATATTTATTTACAACTTACAATTTCCAGGAGCAGTATTAAACGGCGTACTAGGTACTTAGGACTACAGAGTGCAACGGTCCTCGTTACAAGGCACTAAAAATTTAAAAAACAAAACTCCTATATGTGGTTATCAGTGATGTTATAATTATTATCATTTTTACTTGTACTGAATCGTCGTTTTTTCACTAGAGTGCTTAATGTGCCTGAAACAGGACGCAGCTCTCAATAGGAACACAAACATTACTTAAACGTGCCTTAATCAACAAAAAAAAAATTACAAGACTAGACAGTGGAATGTTCTATCTATAATAAATTTATCTACTTAATTGGATAATTTGTCTAATTGTCACAGCGTTATATATTATGTCATAAGTCCATACTATTGCCTATTTAACTTTTAAAAATTTTCAAAGTAATGTCTCATTGCGAGTCAAACGAATTATAAGTGCGCTATTATGAGCACAGTAGTGCCATAGTCTAGTATTTCTTTCAACTTATAATCTATATCCACATTCAGAGGCCGCTCATATCACAAAAGTCCCGTATGTTTATATATACCAAATGAAATTGCCAATACTAGGAAAATGTTAAATGATATTTCTGGTACCTATTTATTAATTATTCCATAATATCGATGCTCTGCACTACATCTGATCTATTTAAAATTCTAAATTCAACTCGGGAAGTTAAAAATTAAAAAAAAAATTGTGTTATAATGCGTAATAGCGGCCTCGTGTTGTCGAATTATAAAGAAAACTATCTTTGGCGCTAGCCTGCATACAAGGGGCCTCTTATGTAGGTTAAGAAAATTTTGATCTCTAGATCCTTTCCTTGTATCTATCGCCAATCTATTTATTTACCCATTGCCCGAAATTTTATACATTACAGCCGACCGCGTTCATAACGACACTATACCAATAGTAGTACTGTCTCGCTCAGATTTCAGCGAATTAACTGAGATAGACGTGCCATTGCATATAGGGTGGGTGCACCAGTCCCATACCTGGAACTGCTTTTTACTGTAACATTACATTTGGTAGTATTGCTTCTACCAAATAGTGATCATATCTTAAAGCGACATCTACAACTTGTTCCTTTACTCTCGAACACAATCGAGACTGATCGACATTGCAATTGTGCTACTCCGTACTCTTGATTCATTAGCATACTCTAGTCCTAGTGTATCCAATCAATAATACGAAACGGCACAATTGCAATGTCTATCGGTTGCGTTCGAGTGTAAGGGGGCTGGTCTACTTAAATACTTTGCGACTTGTCACATTTTTATAAAAATAAACTTTGAATATATAGTGAATAAGGAATAAAATGTGGTTGTTGCAACTTGTAATAATTGAGTCACATCATAATTACTTTCAAAATGTTGCTAAATCGGTTTGCTACTAGTGCACTCTCCCTGTATGTGTTTTAAAAGTCCCCTCCAATTTATTAAACCAAAGACTTCCTTATATACTATCAGACAAGCTGAAAAATTGATCGCTCGCATCTTACGGCCCAAATCTTTCATGTTCTAAATAAAATAATCCTTCACCGATTAAACAATATTAATAAATTATTTAGGTATATATTTAAATACCGGGAATAAAACCTCATTCTTTGGGTACATAACCTCAATAAGTTATGTATTAAAAAAGCTAAATAAAATACACAACCGTTATGAACTTATATTTTTGTTTAATATACTTACGGAAAAAGATTATAATCAGTGCACAAAATTTTATATTGCGGTCGTTACCGTAAATCACATTCACGTTACTTTTTCTTAATATTATAAAGAGGATAGATTTAATAGTTTGCTTACCTTGAATATACTTCGAAACTTCTACTGGACCGATTTGAAAAATTCCTTCACTAACGCGAAGCTACATCATATACATGAAATAGGCTATAATTTAGGCGGTGGAAATCGAGTGAAACAATTAGTCGGAGATAATTAAGAGAATGATATCTCTAGACACGTTATTACTTACGACTGATTTTTGTCAAAATGGCCAAAAATGGGACCAAACCGTGTCTTCTAACCTATTGAATTATCTTTTATCTTCGTAAATATGTTCTATGAATGACACTAAATCATTGGAAAAAAATTGCGTACTGGTAACAATTTTTTTCTGTATTATGGTGAAAAAGCATTTAATGGACATGTCGATAATAATAACATCATCTTTAATATGTTCAATAGTTAAGTACAAAGCTTATGTGATATTGTGTATTGCAACAACATTTGTGACGAGTAGCTTACACAATTTTCTTCCATTAAAACTTCATACATAAAATTTGTATGCACGTAAAGAAAACATTGATTATAGCTTAGTATCACTGTGATTACCTTACCTAATGTGGTCTTAGAGACCTATATTTAACAGATTTCTATCACAATATCAAACACAAGAAAATAATGTGCTATTAAATTACGTTTTTTAATGAATAATATTAATTTGACTGTTATATCAAATTGAACATACACCACAACTTTTACTTGTTACTTTTATAGTCTATAAAGGATCAATCGTCGATTTGAATACTCCAATATATCAGCACCTGTGTTATAATTCACGGAGAATTTGAAGCTGAGCTGATAATGACGTTCCCACTGAGGAATCGAGTGTGCTTCTTATGGCGCTGTGTTAAGGCCGCTTACAGCTTAACGCGGCCTGTGCATATGTCGGCGAATAGTTGAGTGGTGACTGGCACAAATCCATCACCAGATCTGAAGTACAGCGGGTCCTTGATCACGTCCGGGTCGAAGCCTTCCTTCTGGTAGTGCAGTTTCTTCAATTTAAACGTACCTGGAAAAATAGGTTACTTTAATATTCTTTGTTCATTGAAACTGTAGGTATGTAAGTTCGTTGGGTAGTTTTTGTTACAATGAATCCTAGATTATGTGAACTTGTGACTTTATTGGTAGATTATTGATTAATCAAAAACCGAGGTCGCAGATATGATATCCAAAATTCATTTATTGCTTTCATTAGATGACATATATGTAAGTGTCAACTCCATCGACTAATGTAAATGAGCAAATTAACTCCACACTACAGTAATAAAAAAATGTTTGACCTCTATAGCATAGTGGCTAGCACGGTTCCAAGGAATTACCATTTCTTAGGTCCCGGGTTCGATGTCCGCTCGTTCTGCCGTACTGGCCATTTCAAAACAAAATATTTTTTTTGGCTGATAATTCCTATTTCAAATTATTTTTTTTTTAAATCGTCTTTTGTTTTATATTGAGTGTTGTTTTCAATGCATTCGAACATTTTTCATCGTCATGGATAAGTTAAAAATTCGAGTAATTATGGAGTACGAGTACCGTCATTGTAATTTTTCTATATTTTATCGGTTCTGGGGGGTTGTGTTACGTTTCTTTGTTTCTAATTTCGATAATGCAAATGCTTTAGCTAATTAATTTGATTTGATGATCTGATCTGAGCAACGTTTGAATGCTATTGCTGCTTTTTAAATTTTAAAAAGATAATGGAAAGAATCATAAACTTTCGTAGCTTTATGTTAAAATTACGTGTTTAATATTCTTCAGTAATATACCCAAGGGAAGGACAAAAAAATGACTTGAGAATAATGAGAAACTGACTTGTGATTTCGATGTCTTTGACGAGTCGGAGGAACAGTGGTCGAGCGTACGACGGCAGCGAGTCGTCCAAGTGTCGCGCCAGCTTGTTCAGCTCCAGCGAACCATTCTCGTCCGCTATAGCGGCCATGCCCACGCGACCCTCGGTTTGCGGCACCTGACGTATAAACACTCTGTTATTATTACACGACCTCCGTAGTCGAATTGTTCGCGGGTGCAATGCCCGGCAGGAATGTGGAAAATAGGCTATATTGTCTCGGGTCTTGGTGTTGTGGTACCTTCGTTGTCTGAGATAGTTCTTTATCCTGGGGCTTTAGCTACTCATCTTGAATTCTGAGAAATGTATGTGATGTTGTCTAATGTTTATTTATTATGATTTCACTGACTTAAAAAATGTTGTTGAAATCAAAATGCAACATGAAGCAAAAATATTAATTTAGGGAAATTACATGCATAAAAGACATACGGTTTATTAATAAAACAATTAATGATTTATACTTAATAAAGACAGCTAAATCCGCCAATGACATTTAAGTGTGTTTACGAGATAACGGACTTACAGAAACACCGTATACGGCGCATGCTCTCTGTCCGAGGGCGTGTCCCATAGCGTCCTCCACCTCAGCTGTGGCGACGTTCTCTCCCTTCCACCGGTATGTGTCGCCGGTGCGGTCCCTGAAGAACAGGTAGCCGAGCTCATCGGCTACCAGAATGTCGCCGCTCACGAAAGCCGCGTCACCCTTTTGGAACACGTCACGGACCATCTTCTTGTTACTCTCGCTCTGCAAAAAAGTTTGGTTTCAATTTATTTGTTTGTAAGTCTTTGGTTAAAGCACAGAATGATAATTATTTGTTGAGAACGGACAGTAAACGATGAACGATCAGCGAGTAGTTGCAGTCAGAAAATACAGTAAATATTTTTTATTTTTTTATGTAAGTTGGTAGGTTTAACGATTTTTTCTTGAATTATGAACCAATTTCTATGAAACTAGTTGTTTCCCTGCGACTCCATCTGCGTGGATGGATTTTATCAGAATTTTCCATTAAGAATAACTATTAAAACATTTTTCAAAAAATAAATCCGACTTCAAACTTTTAAAGTAATTCTCTACTACTACTCTCGCTCTAATAATAATAAACACAAGCGTTGTGGTAATTACAGAATAAACTTATAGCAAAATTCGTGTCGTGGCTGACATGCTATTCGATCTCAACGCGTCGTTGGTAATGAAGAAAAGCCACGACGCGTTCTGAGCATTAATTGGTTTAATCATATCATGACGGACTGGATGTCGTATAAGTTAATTCGATTCTGGTCTGCTCACAGTCGTGACCTCTAGTTCAGTGTCGTGACACCGCAGTTACGTCATTGTGAGAGTTGTGACACCAAAGTGACGTCAAGATGAGTGTCGCGACATCGAGTTGTTTGTTGTGACATTTATGTGAAATCAATTTGAGGATCGTTATGCCAAATTGAGTGTCGTGACATCGATGTGAATGTCATGATATCGATGTAGTGTCAATGTGAGAGACGTGACATCGGTGTGGTGATATTGAAGTGTAATTAACGTGAGTGTCGTGACACTGATATGATGTCATTTTGAGCCTCGTGACGTCCATATGAATTTAATGTTAGTATCGTGTCACCGAAGTGGCGCCAACATGTGAGACGGGTTGAGTGTCGTGACATATGATTTCAATGTAAGTGTCGTGACTCCAAAATGGCGTCAATGTAAGTGTCAAGACATCGGTCTGTCGTTGATGTGAATGTCGTGACATCGGTATGTCGTCGATGTGTGTGTCGTGACATCCAGTTGTGTGTCCTGATGCTGATGTTTCGTCAGTGTGAGAGTCGTAACACCAAAGTGGCGTCAAAGCGAGTGTCATGACATCGAGTTGATCATCGTGATACTTATGTGACGTCAATGTGAGTCTCGTGACTGATGTGACTTCAATGTGAGTGTCGTCATATCCAGTTGACTTTCAATGTGAGTATCTTCAATCGACTTTCCAGTTGAGTTTCAATGTGAATGACTTCAATGTGAATATCATGACATCGAGTTGAGTTTCATAACATCGAAGTGACGTATATATGTGAGTGTCGTGACATCGAGTTAGTTGTCATGACACTGACGCCCGTCTTAACACAACCCGGGTGCGTGGTGTAGGGGGTGCGTGCACCATGGGTAAAAACGAGCCTGCGTGACACGGAAGAAACGTCAATGTGAGTGTCGTGACATCGATTGCCAATATTATTAAGATGGTGTCTTACAATTTTTTTATTGTATTTATCTCCTTCACATCGTTATGTCAAACATCAGCGAATGAACGAACGGTTTGGAGAATTACGGTTATATCATGGTAACAATATAACGGCACGGCGAAGTAAATTAGAAACCAATTGTAACTGTGTCGACCTGTCCCCATTTCGTTTGCTGCGACTGGATAACCACGGAACGACAACACGATTATAATTCGCATAAAATAAGAGCCGAGACTAAGTGTCGAACGTAGTGATTATAGTAGTGTCTTAGCTTGATTCACTGGTATGGTATATACTCACCTTATCCACATATCCATAATATTCTCTAGACGCGTTGCCCTGTGCGATGAGGCCAATGAACATGCCAGGCTCATCTGTAATAAAGTAAGTTATTTTGACGGAAAAATGCAACAGCAAAGGGCAATTTTGTAACTCAGTTACAGAATAAAAATTATCAAGTAAATTAGTAACTTGATTCGCAACGTCGAATTATTTATCTCAAACTAAATAGCTAATGCCATCTTGAAATGAAAAATAAAATAGCAAATGTACAGCACCCAATCCAAATAATCAATAAGAATCGAATGAGGAATCACATAGATCATAACTAACGATGTGCGAGCCGCTCGATCGCAGAGGTAGTCACGTTAAAAGCACAGTACAAAAAAAAATCAGTACTGTGTAAAAGTTCTACAGCTAATATTAAGTTTGAATGTGAAAGATTTTATGGTACCCATTCTACACGGCCCTTATCTATGGGATACATCTTAGCGAATATTATGACGATATTTCATTTTATTGTACCACTTTGACCTATCTTTTGGTGGACAGATCGGGGATAAACGATTAAGTTGGAAACACTGCTGTTAAAACCATATTCATCGTTCACTCTTCTGTATTATACTTAGTATATGACAAAGTAGTAAAATTACACGAAATAGCGCTTTACCATCGCTAAAATGTCGTACCTATCCTACGGTTAGAGTTATAGCTAGAGGAGTTAGACGGTAGCTCTGTAGGAAAGAAAGAAAATATAAATAATGTGTCACGTAGTATTGGTTCCCATAACTCTTTTTAAACAGAAAAAGCTCTTATTATCTTAATATATATTAAACTATTTTTTTTATTGGGTTATGTTTGTCCGCTATGTTGTTACAGAACAAGACAATTTAAATATTAAAATATATAAATAAAACTTCGTAACAATAATATTATTATGGTTAGTAACAGCTCATAATGTGAAAGCATTTAATATATTGAAAAGCTACGCCGCCGATTCGCTAATCCAAGTCAGGAGACCTTGTACAAAGAAAACCGGGCAATAAACTTTACAAGGCCAATTTTTTCTCCATGTTTTGTTCCAAACTGTGTCTTGTCATCCGTAAGTTATTTAGTGCTCAAGGTTAGATACCATTGCAATCCAAATTAAACAAGTTTTAAAATTATTACTTACACAAGGATATATTTTAAAATAATGAGCATTAGAAAATGTCATCACTGTTTGTAGTTCACGAGCTTTTCAACATTATTATTTTGTTCATTACATATTTTGTATTCATAAACCAAAGTAACGAAAACGAGCTTTGCTACGGAAGCCAGGTAGTTCAGCGGTTCGATGTGTAACAGCTTTTTTCAACGCAATATTTTTCAAGAACACTCACGGTAAGAGCGCTGTAGACTTTATTGGCTGATAGTTTTGCCGCCCTTCATCAGTGTGAAACTGTAACTACGCAAAAGATCGTATCTACTAAAAATAATAAATTGATTTCCAATTTCCCACTGATTAAAGAGCCAAAAAATCGGTCAATATAAATCTGTACTCTTTAGGAGACCTAAAAGATGAACTGTTTTAAGTTTAGCACGTCTCAAATTATACTCATTTTTAGTTTTCGTTTCAGATTTTTGTTTTTTCAAGATCAATTGATAGCAGTTTGGTAAAACTAGAACTTCTTGACTCGTGAAAAATAAAAGAATAATCAGTTGAGAAAGTGTACTTTTCTCAATTCAGAAAACGACCGTATGTCGTATAATTACTGACACGCAAGATTTGTTGAGAAAAATTGATTTCCATATTCATAATAAATACCCAACCAAAACATCGGTCAATAAATAGTCTCCAGTGTGCCGAAGCCCACTATAAATAATTAGTATTACTCACTGGGTACGCATCGTATACAGAATCCGTCTGCGCCTCTGACAAGGTTGCCTTGCTCGTCGGAGCGCACCAGGGCGATGGGGTGTAGACTAGTTGGTACTAGCTTCGGTAGGAAGCCAACCGCGCCGAGCGTGTTGTCCACATTAACTGTAAAATTAATAAAAAGAGGTCATATTAAAACGCCTGTAATACTTGTGCGAATTAACATGACACCTGATATTGTATTTCTTCGAAAATGAAATTTTCTACTATTTTCTAACGTATTTTTCGACTTTTTATTTGGTTCGAAATCATTTGCGATGCAACGGAGGTAGGACCTGACACTGCCTCTGATGCACAGATAATCTTTCATGGATATGATTTGAACAAATTATAAGGACGATTCGAAATTTTCCGAGCATTTGTTCGAGGACAATGGAACCCCCAGCCCTCCCGTTTTTGTTATTTTTGCAAAATCAATAAATTACGGCGATATCAATAAGATACATCGAGTTGCATGACGTCACATCTTTGTACATTTTCTACACAAGTTGTGATCATTCAACTTTAATACCTACTATCTAAGCCATTTCTTGTTAAATTGAAGGGGAAAAAATACGTACCCAATAATTTTCTATTACCTAAATCGCTTAAACAATTAAACTATAAAAGAGAATTATAACAAATACCTACAAACCTACCTTAATATTTCCTGTGGATTATACGAGTACCATTGTCCCGCCGACACAAGACATTTTTTATTCCAGAACGTTCACGATTATTGATTTTCCATTTAACAAAACACTCGAAAGGTTACCGACATATATTTAATGTTAATATGTAATTACCCCAAATAAAAATTCAAAGTCGATACGATAAAATGGTGTTAATATAAACACAGGTTACTGCGAGCAACATTTCAAATTTCCACATTTGATAATGAACTTAATAGCTATCGTATTAAGGTTAGTTTGGAGAATTTTCCCTATTTTTTGTAACCCGCCGTATGTACTGTATGTATAATCTGGTAATGTAGTTGTTCGACAGGTTTCAAGATCTTGAACTATAGAAATCAGACAGAATAAATTCTATTGTTCTAATTCTTTTTGTTTTATATTGTTGTGATATCCAAGTATTTCATAAAATGACAGATATACAATTCTCTAGTGATCTTTGGAGACTCTGAGTAATACTTAATTGTCAGAAAATTAAAGAATTAGATGTAGGAGATGGATCGAAAACACATATTAAGAAGGGGCATAAAGTCAAAAGACTGTCTTTATCTATTACCCCCGGCAATGTGATAGGTATCGACAGAGGATTGCTACTTGTGACAGAGTTTTTAACAAACTAAATACCTATAAATATTATTAAAAAGTAATTAATTACCTTGCATACAAAGGGATTCACATATTTAACAATTCTTATGTATAATAAAATAAGACTAGCTCGGTGTCGTAGTGTATAAGCGCCGTGACCTGCAATACTTGTTGTTAAGCAAGCTTTGCAAGGGTCGGTTACGGGATAGGTGACCAAAAATTATTTTCTTGAGCTACTCCGCGCTTCGGAAGGCATGTTAAGCCGTTGGTCCCGGTTGCATTTGGATTTTTTCGAACTCCAAATGCAATCGGGACCTCGAAGTATTCACAACCTTTATAATTATGTATAGCCTGATTTATAATAATTATAACATAGTCGAAATTATAATATGAATTGTTGCATTTATATTCACTTCTATTTTCCATTTTTTAGACTCATCATTTTTTATATTTCTTTAAATAAAAGTTTAAGGATAAAATATAAAAAATAATGCCAATGTTACATTAGTAAAAGTTAACCAAATTGATTAAACTCAGCGACGCCTAATGACTATTATTTATCCGCCTAAATACTTATACTACGCAAATTGGTATTTAAAAAAAATAAGTCTTACATTTAACCTTTACACAGATACATTCATAGGCAACTGCCTAGGTTTGTTAAAATCAATTATATCATTTGTGTCAAACGTGAAATGTATTAGTTATTGAAAAAATATGTACCTATCTTCATACGTTTCTATATTAGGGGGCGTCCATAAATTACGTGAGGTGTTTTTTCAAATTTTCTGACCCTCCCTCCCCCCCTGGTGAGATGTCGTGAGATTTTATTCAATCCCCTCCCCCAACCCCAAATCTCACGTGAGATTTTTCAAAAAGTGGGTTTCTTATAAACACGTTGGATTTTTTAATAAAAAGAAAAAAAAATAATTCGCTTCGTACTTTTATTTACGACTAGTTAGAGACTAGTAATCCATATTGCTCTCATTCATCGAGTCACACGTTCAGCTGACAGTGGCGCGAAAACAAAGGACGGGCTACATTGTACCGTAAATTCAAATTAAATTGAGCTATTTGGTATAAAACGAGTATAGTGGTTTGACAATCAGGAGTGATGTATAATGTCAAAGTACGAATGAAATTATTTTCTTTCCAACGAATTAGTGAATGATCTTAACCTTAGACTTGTCACTCTATGAGGGATTCCCCGCACCGAGCCTTATTTTAAAAATTGCGTGATATTTGCCGAAACCCCCCCTCTCTCCAACGTGAGATTAGATGAGATTTGACTCGACTCCCTCCCCCCCTTAAACATCTCACGTAATTTATGGACGCCCCCTTAGGGAATATTATAATAAATATAATTAAAAAATTTAAATATCTAAGGATATTAACCAAACATGGTTTCGATTTGTATCTAAATGATATTTATATAATAAATTATGTTCTTACTATTTTATTGAAGTTATAAAGTATTGAATGTTTGAAAAAAAGAATGTTTTAAGCAACATACAATAAAAAAATAGCTTCATTTGAATTGAAATCATAACATAAAAGTAATGTTTCTCTTTCTCATAAACCCGACGATCTGGAGACAATATGTTTTGTGATTTATTGTAAAAATTTAAATTACGTATCTAAGGTCCACGAAGACAATGCCATATTTAGTTGGGCAATGTCCTTTAAACTATTTAATTAGAGTTTAAAATTAAAAAACTTACTAGTCGAACAATAAAATACTTAACTGATATAAAATGTCCTTATCTCTCTCTTAATTTTTGAGTAAATACAAAATATGTAAGTTTTCGTTTTTTTTTTAATTCTTTATATTTTTTTATTTTGTGTATATTTTCTTCCGCCTTGCATTGCACCCTTACCATACTTAGCTAATCTTCAAATAATAAAAACAAATTATATTTACCACTTGTTTACATACGATATAATAACTAGATAGTTATAATTATAACAATATTGTTAAACTCACTGATATTTGCATTGCCCTCCGTTGCTCCGTAGATTTCATTTATCTGCGGCACTTTGAACCTAAACAAGAAAAAATAATATTAGCCCTATTAATTTTATCGCAGAGTTCATTTCTACTAAATTTTACATTGACATGTTATCATAAGTAGTTGTTCCTGGTTTAATAATTATTGACGAATATGTCAGACGAGATACTTGATACCTACTTCTGATGCTTATGCCAACTTTTTGTAGGATGATTTCTAAATTTGTGCATTGATATCAATTAATTTAGTATACGGCCAGTTGCACAAATGTTCAATATGATTTAATGAATCTGATCGATATTTATGAAATCATGACCCATAAAACAAAAGGGCTAACCAATTTTCTCTATTTATTTACGTTATAAAGAATAAGACAGCGCCATCTCTTGACAGTCGATGAGAGTGAAGTCGTGATGTTGTGCATGTTAAACCTGTTTTGTTATAATAATACTGTTACCTGTCTACAATTTGCTGCCATATGGCGGGGCGCATACCGTTGCCGACCATAATGCGCACGCGATGTTGCGCGTCCGTCGGCCGAGGCGGCTGCGCCAACAGATATCGGCACATCTCTCCAATGTACTGCGCCACCTGAGAAAGAATAACAATAATTTAAATATTAAGTTACACTTCACAGTACCTTTTCGATTTGGAAGTCGGTTAAAACGGCTAGCTAGCTAAGCTATTTTCCCGCGACATCGACCGCGTAAATTATAGCCTAATTTCTAAAATCAAACAAACTCAGTTTCTACTTATAAAAACTGACCAAGAACGAATTAAACTCGCACGTCGAGAATTCTGCATGAATATTGAAAAACCTTCGACTTCGAGTATTTTCGGGGATCGCGGCGGAACTTGACGGTGAATTTACAAAACCATTTCTATCTTGCAAATTACTATTAGATATCTAATATATTTATGTAATTTACCAATAGTAACACAGATTCAAATTAAGTAGGTTGTTAAAGCATATTTGTGTTAGAGATAATGAAAAAACGAAAGTAACAAACACCCAAACAAGAGACTATACCTATAGAAAAGTTAATTTTCTACATCGACCCGACCGGGACTCAAATCTCAGGATTGTGACACCTTGAGACCAGCGTGCGAGCTACTCCAGTCCACTCGTTAAAATTATACCTTACAGTAGGTTCATGCGTATTTATATAGGTAGTCTAAAATTACATTTTAGCTTAACTAGATGTGATTCTCTTTTATAAATTACAGTTTATCGACTTCATTGAACCGATTTGCAAATAAAGGAATAAGCCATAAAACACAGAAAAGAGGTAAGCTTAAGCCGACGTACCGTGCAGTTATATTTGACGCAATCAGCCCAGTAGTTAGAAGCGGAGAAACGTGGCCGAATGACTGAGGGTATACCGTCGACAAGAGCTGCACCCGTGCCCACCAGGCCACCCGCCGTGTGGTACAGCGGTAGCGCATTATACATCCGGTCCCAGGACTTTAGACCGAGCATATGCACCGTGGCGACCATTATCAGGAGATACCTGAATGAAGATTTATACTTCACTCTGTGCCGACTCAATGAAACTTGGCGTCTTAAGCAAAGCACTGGAACGACACTCATACGAAATCACAACAAAATAAAAGTATAGAAGTTTGCCAGTGTCATGTCCAAAGAACCAAAAATTTTTTGCTACTGCATTCAAATAATTAGTTCAAAACAGATTGTGAAACGCTGCCGCCCAAATACGAGCCCCCTAGGCAGTTGCCTAATTCGCCTATAGGATTTGTCGATATTGAAATCGAGAATTAATTCATTTCAAATATCGACCAATCTTGACAATGTTCTGCACCGTCTGGCCAAAAAACAATATTCTGGGTCCTACGATTGTTTTCATAATCTCTAAATGTTGAATCTTCTTTCCCTTTACTCTAATATCCACCATCTTTCTCGTGAATCGAAGGCGCCAATAATTCCATTTAATAGTTCCTTGTAGAAAAATAATGCATAATATATTTCACAGATATAATTAAATTCAATTAATTTCAGTTAATTATTACACTATAAAACATAAGTAGAATATAAAAAGTTAATGTATATAACAAGTTAGTATATAGACTGAATATTATGAATTAGACAGCAATGTTACCAACTTAATTATTTGTCCACCAAAAGATATGTCAAAGTAGTGAAATGAAGCGAATTATTGCCATAACATCGCTAAGATATCGTATCCTATGTCTGGACAGTTAAGCGGTCGCGCCCTTGCTAGCTTAGATTTTATTTACGATTTCCTTCAATTAATAAACTTACTTAGAATTTGGCAGCACCGCCGCCTTGGGCATGCCGGTGGTCCCAGACGTATATATGTAGAGAAGCGTGTCCTTGTAGTGCAGAGTCTCGGTGACGAGCGGCGGGAGAGGCAGTTGTCTATCCATCTCCGCCCCGAGATCTAATACGCCTTCTGCACACTCGCCGTACAGCTGGAACAGTTTCAGATCACCCGGCAACTGCTCCCGAATCTCTTGCACGGCTGCGAACATCATTTCAATGTTAGGACACCCAAAATAGCATGTTCAATAGAGCAGGTATTTTTTGAATAACAAGTTTTTGGTTAGATATTATTGGGAACGAAGCTCAATGAATGGAAAATGGACATTGTGTTCACCAAAGTGAATGCCCAGCGCCGATTTCGCACAACCTTTGAATGACAGCGTTCTGAATCGGAAATTCTTCAGATAAACGAGATCATATGGAATTGTATAAGGATAAGCACCGTACAATTAAAAACAAAAACTTTCTTAATCACTTATCGAAAATTAATTTAGAGATATTTGAAACGCTTACGCAGCACTAACTAAAATTGAAGATCCGATAATCGTTGTTAAGGTAAACCACACATGTCTATGTACAAATGTTTTCTATAAATGAAGTCATTTATGGCGTCTATATACAATGTTATTTTTAAATAACACTATAAAAACCACTAACGTTTGTCCATAGTGCGAAGTATTTTTTGCGTCATCTCATATCTCAATTTACAATAGTTTACAAAAAAGTCTTTATTCTATTGATACTATACTGAGAATAGTTTATTGACATGCCAATATACTTTAAAGTTAATTCTTGATATTTATATAATAGGTCCTTACATATGAAATTGGTGTTTGGATGGGAGGAACAAAAAGTATAATATTTTTAATATATTTATTTAATCAAAGTACAAACCATTGTAATCATAAGCTTTTTAATCTTTCCTATTTGCTTCAAGTGGATTAAAACAATTTTATTACTAACACCGCAGCCTGCAGATAATTTGGACGTGGTTTGCAATGGATCCGCTTCCACAATAGCCTTCAATTCTTCATTATTAACTTGGGTCTCCGGCCGTCCGCTGGCCTTGTTCTGTAGGTCGAATATTCCAGAACGAAAACGTTGGAACCAAAAACGCACTGTGTTTTCTTTGCGACACAACCGCCGTACACATCATTAACCCTTCGAGCCGTTTCCGCAGCACTGGTACCACGGTGGAACTCGTACTCGTAAATGACACGATATTTCAAGTTTTCTATTTTTTATACTGGGTGACGAAAATAGGACAAACAGAAGAAAAAAAAAACAAATGAATGCCGCCTAACGAAACACAAAAATGGCTGTATAAATTCCCAACCAAGGAGGAGAAATTTGTGATTAAAGTGGCCAGTACGACAAAATGCCTATTTCATATGTATGTAATATTATTGTTAACATTACATGATCCAAAATGCAATCAAATAAATTTATAGTGACATACATATCTAATTTATTATTATTATTTTAGTGATGTTTTTACATTCGTTCACATTGTAATTTTTGACATTCAGTAATATATATCAATATAGTATCGCGATTACAAAACCAATCGAATAAATTCGTGCGGTAGGTAAGTTACGTTTCACAATACATGAATATTATCGGAAGGCACCTTAAACCGTGGATGTCGCAATCAGGAATAAGCTACTTATGTAACTCTTTCCATAGATGAACCCTGTGCCGCATCAACTGTAGAGCTTTAATAGTATGATGATGATGACCTGTATGCATACTCACCGCTAGCCAGCTGGTCTGAAAAGACGATAGCTTTCGGTTTAGCAACTTGGACGCAGTGCAGTAGCGGTTTGTGGCGAAGGTTGCTATTGATGAGGGCCGAGACAGCGCCCACCTTCGCCATGCCCAGCCAAGTCCACACGTACTCCGCGCAATTGGGCATGAACACGCACACAACGTCAGCACGCTTCAGACCTAGATGTTCCTGCATCACTCTCGCCACTTGGTTTGACTTTTCGTCCATCTGCAACAAAAATTTATTCATTTAACGTACACCAGCAGCTATACATGTAATTACATCTTTCTTTAATACAAGATTGATTGTATAGGGCTTATATGATAGCGAATAATTGGTACTTATACAAAACATTATTTAAAATCGCGTTGAGCTATCTGAACACCTGTACATTTATTAATCCCCAATATGTTTCAGCACTTTATCTTTGGAAATTTTACAATGCGAATTAATTTATAACTTGCATTGCTCATTATGAGCTTCAATTAAGTAAGGTATTAGGAAAAAATATGGGAGGAATCCAAATATAGTTTTGACGCCAATATTTAAATAACGTAAAGCCAATTTTGATTTTGAACAATCAGTAATTATGTATCGACGAAATATAAAATAGTAGATTTTTAATTAAGTCAACTTGATCAAAGACTTTGTCTTTTTGAAGGTAATCAATTTGGGAGGTTTTAAATTCTACAAACAACTGATACGGATCTGGAGGGTCAACATCACTTGGATCAGTAACAGCAATCGTAAACCGTCTAACGATCAATACCAGCTATTTCCGTAACTGTTTAAGCGGCTATTAAAAATAGATTACACTGTACACATGTTTCGTTGAAGATTTCATACTTCTTGGACGTTCCAAAGTATTCTGTGATGGATCAATCTACGTGCAGTCAAAACCCGTTTTCGAAATTGCTCATTAGATGAAGAGTGCTTGTTATTTTGTTCGCTGTTCGCTGAACACCATTTCAGATCACATGGCTCAAATACCAAATTTAACACGATTAGGCGTCCGAGCGTCTAACAAACTTATATCCGCATGAATGGACACATGGAAATGGATCATCAATTGTTTCTAATTCAATTAACAATCGTAGATAAGAGAAAAGTACAATATTATGTTAAACACTATGATAATATTCTTCTAATCTAGACCTCTTTAATGGAAAAAGGTTTTACTTGTGTTTGAAGCATTTGTCGGTTAATTATTCAATAAGCTTAATTTCAAATATTAATTGCTCGCCTTACTTAAAAACACGTCTAATTGATTTTAAGTGTTAATATAATCAAATCTGTAGTTGAAAAATCAATCACAAACATTCAAAATTTATCGAAGATTGATGATTTAAATGGACAGGTACGGCCACAATTTCCACTTATGAATTACCTGGATTTCACTAGCTTCACCCGTGTGGTCCCTAAGGAACTGTTAAGTGAGATAAGAAGTAGCCTATATGTTCATCCATGCTTAGAAGTGTCCGTATACCTAATTTCATCAAGATTCGTCCAGTAGTTTTTTCGTGAAAGAGTAACAAACATACTTACATAGGTCCGTCCTCACAAACTTCCGCATTTATAAAATTAGTAGGATAATAAGGCACATAACTTAAAAGTTGACTACGACAAGCAGGGAAGCCTTAAACCTACCGTGATCCAGGTAGCGGCGGCGCCATATGTTGAAAGCAACTTGGATTACGCAACGGATAAAACTGCATTTGTTTCCTGCTCGGGTGCCTAGTTAATTGTCACCATACAATCTTACTTTAGCCTGTTTTCATCGGGTTTTAGTCTAACGATAGGTATGCTAATATACACGCAATAAAAAAATATTTTGTCGACTTAATCTATCTTTTGGTGAAAATAAACATGAATATATATAAAAATTGTGTCAATTAAATTCTCAAGACTAAATATTTTTTTCAGATGTGTCTTTGTGTGGATTTATTTGACTTCTTCTCCGATCTCTAATTCGTGCTCCCATATAATTTATCAATCAGTATTTCAAGAGGTTGAGTTCGTTTCACAAAAGAAGTACCTTGAATTACAATGTTTTCGCTTTTATTACAAAGGAAAATGCTAAGGAAACTCTTCCGTGAAACTTTCTATAGTGGGCCAAGACTCATTCTCCCTATTCGATTCCAGTCATAGGGAAGACCTATGCCCCAGCAGTGGGAACATAATTAGACTGATGGTGATAGTCAGCACCTTAATAAAACCTTTTAAAACATTGTAAAATTCTTTTAAAACATTATAAAAGATTTAAAAAACTCTGTTATTCGAAGGAAGTAACATTAGCATACGCATCTTACCGACAAAATATCGTCAGATTGCCCATTTGAAATTCTATCACGGTGCCGTTTGCCATAAACAGTTACATGAATTTGATTATACGATTGTAGGCACTACACAAGTTACGTTTGAGCGTCGTTGCTTGACGGCAGCTAGTCATTGGCACTGTTTTATAATGCTCGCTGAATGCTTGAATGCTTTCGTTTAAATTAAGTTATAACTAAAGTTATTGTGATTTTATGTGCTAAAGCTTATGTTTTTCTTTAATACACAAATATATATTATATATACCAACTAGTTTTTGCTCGCAACTTCGCCCGCGTCTGGTATTAAGTCCAGAAATGAGAAAATTCCATGAAAACTTTCATTACGGTATATGGAGAACTTTTACAATAATAAAAATCTTCATGGATTTCAGATTTCTAAAAAAATTTTCTCTCACACTCTTTGTCTCTGTTTCATTAACGGGCGCGTGAGTCGACTTCATTTCGTTTTCTCAAATCCAATATCAATCAAATCAAAGCCAATGTTACGCGATAGATCTGATCGTGTTGTCTCAAGATTGATAGCAATCGTTAAGTGGCGATCGCAAATTTCACTGTCCAAATTATCGCTAGAAAACTAACTAATATCGCTAATTTCACACTTGAACTCGATACATAACTACTATTACACACATTTTACTGTAGAGACTTGCAATAATCGTTGAATTATGAGTTCGTTCGCTATGAGTTAGCGACCGAATTCGGTAAGTAGCGATCAAGCTTATTAATGGGTTCCATATCACATGAATAATGTAAAAAAGCCGTAAGCCATACAGCTTATTCTTGATCTCAATCCAGCCTGGGACATGGATAAAGTCTACGTTGGAACGAGCTTGCCCAGAAACAGCCTATTCATTCTCGCCTTGAATGGATTTGGGTTATATGTTCTCGGAAATAAAGGCAGGAAAGCCCACACTTTTGCAGTACTTAGAATAAAAGAAGATGAATTGCGCTTTGTGCGGTGTTTTGGAATATTAACCAAGCTCTGTCGAGACTGTAACCCCTGCAAGCTTGGAGGTTTACCTCTTTGAAGGTCCAGGTGCGATCGCCGACGACGATGAAGCACGGCGCGTCGGGCGTGCGGCGCGCGCGCTGCGTGAAAAGCTGCGCGACGGTGGCGTCCTGTCGGCCCCATCGTTTCGACCGGATCATGCCGTTCGCATACCGCCACAGGAACCTGCATAACAATATAGTCGTGCTCACTTATCATTCATCACTTGCACAAATCATTACGCCAAGATCCGATCGGACTATGCTAAAACTATGGACTGATATCTACCCCATGGTCAAAATAGCGGTTTGTACCGGTTATATTTTATTCTGTTTGGGAAACTTACAGCATTATTCACAATATGATGGCATCTATAATACTTATAAGCTAATTACAAGCTTCCGCATATGAGCAAACAATTTGTTGCGATTACAGGTATACTAGTATAATTAACGAATAACTCTTCTAATGTAAAATAATCGCATCTCAATAGACTCTCAACTAAGTCCAATATTATTAATATATTCCTAACCATTTCATTTGTGTAGAAGACATAGTACTAATAATATTGGACTTCAAGTAGATCAGGCAAAATGCAAATAATTAAAATTCCGGGCCTGCTGTTATGACACAAACATTAATACAATATGATAAAGACATGGTCAGCTACGATTTCAGTATAGAAGATTTTTTTGAGGGGAAAGCTTTTCTAAAGTTTTAAATAACAATGTTATAAGTTGTATAAGCTGTAACTTGCATTTTTTTGTATATTGACTACATTTGGTTTTACATGAATGAATAACTTTCCTCGACAAATTTCAAAATCTTTTGCAACAATATTGCTACACAGGGAATGATAAAAGCGAAGATCGACTTTAGTAATATTTAGAAGTTAACATTTATTTTAAAAATGAAGAGTAAAAAGAAAATAACCTTGGCGAAATCCGTCTTGTATTCAACCAGTTGCGTATTTTCCCACTGAATCATTAAATATTCACCAGAGAACAATCCCACGTGTATTCGATATATAGATCGGATGATTGTCGCCGTCAACAATTTCAGTTCGATACTAAATTGTTCCATATCGATTGTTAAAAATGTAAGCATCTCCAACAGAAATGTGACAAAATAAAAAAGAATTCAGCACAAACTCTGCTATCTTGCCATTTTTAGTAATGTCTTACTTCCTTCTGGTCTGACATAACATTCTAATGCATCTTCTCTACTTTGTCTTCTTCTGTATTTCAGGTTCTCATAAAGAGGGTTCTTTACTATAACGAGTAAAGCAAATCATAGTTTAAAAAAGCTTAGTGTTATAATACATAAACATAGTAGATACTATCATTTAGTGGCCGAAAAAAGTCAATCACATTAGAAACCTCCGTTTATACCGGAAAATTAGATAGAAACAAACCCTACAAATATACAAACGAGATTGAAAAGTAAATTCTAATATTGATTGTCTGTGTAACTGCTAAATATGGTATAGCTTATCGAGTCGTTTGCATAGTTCGCGAAGCCTTTGGAAATCGTTGCCAAGACACGAGTCATGCGCCAGCTGACGTCCGAGCCACAGACATAATCCTATAATGGAATAAATGAATCGAAGAGCCTTGAAGAGTACTAGGTTAGCAAGTAAGGGTAAGCAAGAACCTGTGACGATAAATTCTATTAGTGAGGAAGATGCATATTACGTCACATCAAATACCAAGCTCAGATCTTTAAAACTAAGCAGGTATAGTCTTTGTGTTCGAATATTAAAATTAACGAAGGTACCATTACATCTAGATCATAGACCAAAGGTTCTCAAAGTAGGGTACGCGGACCCCTTAGGATACACATTTGATGGTTCGCTACAACATTTAAGTTATCGTGGCTCGATGACGTGTGATGAAGCATACAATTTTTCAAAAAACATCTATTGTTGTCTGAATTTGCGACAAAAAACCATAGAAAATAAAAATGGTGTTTAAAAAAAAGGCTTTTATTTGAATAAACACAAAAAATTTATGCCAAAATAAATATTTAATAATGTTAATGTGATGGGTGAGCTTGCTAAGGGGTTCGCTGTTATCTGGAATATTTTACGGTGGTCTGTGAAGCCAAAAGTTTGAGAAACCCTGCCATAGATTATATACAAAAATTCATTTTTTTCTATAGACACTTTGGATTCGACCACGGAGGTCGTCAAATCAAAGTAACAAAGGTACACTAGAATTTGCGTAAGTTGACTCTCAGATATATGTCATATTAGTTTAAAACATTCTACAACTTAAAAACTATCGCGAAATAAACTTTTCGTATATTTTACGTTTACCAAGAGAAAGTGGCCATGTCCGATGCGCCCATCCATAAACAACAGTCCCGTCTGACTCATAACCAGGAACGAATATAATATTCAAAGCTTTTAAGCTCTGAATCATCGAAAGTATAAAAGCTAATTTTAATCCATATTGCATCGGTTATAAAATACAAAATTCAGTACAAAGCACATCCACATCATGAGGTCTGTAAATCGATTATATCGACCCATAAACTGTACCATTGCTTAAGATCTTTAGCTATGGAGAAGCGGCTGTTTCTGGTACAGATGTTATAAACTTTAAAAAAGGGCCAACTTTGGTATGTAAAAAAAAATCCTAGTAAGATTTTTTAATAAACTTTTATATAAACTATGTTTTCTTTTTTCTCTCTATTGTTAAATTTTAAACACTCTACATAGAGCCTAACACAAATGTATGAAATTCAAGTTTGCATCAGGAAATTATTGAAATCTAAGAATAAAAAAAAAAGATTTATTAATGTAACCATGGTTACCAACATAAACTATGATTTTGTACCTTGCAAGATCAGCTACTCTGTTCTGTTAAAAAACAGCTATAAACGTCGACGTCGAGCACAAAGTTGTGACAGTATAGAACCTTAATGAATTTAAGCTTTTCATTACTTTTTAAGTAGGTTTTAATTGATTGAACTTCTATGCTATGACTTCGCAGAGTTCGGTGACTAGTTCTTTTTTTAATTTATAATAATCTCACTCTTGAACTCCTTCTATCCCATGAACATAAACAAGATCTAGAGTAGGACGAGCTTGCCCAGAAGGAACCTATTCACTCTTGTCTTAAATAGCTCTGAGTTATATGCATTCGGGAATATAGACGCTGGCAAAGAGTTCCACTCCTTGGTAGTGCGCAGTAAAAAACATGAAAAATAGCGCACAAAGAGCATTTATGATAATGGTCGAAGTTCATGTTATTGCTGGATAGCACTGCCTTGTCTGAAACCAGTGAAATCATTAGCCCATTGCTTACAAATCTTTTATGAAAAGTAAATATTTTTTTTAAACAAGCTTTTATTTTTTATCTAGTTAAGCCCTTTCATTCGATATTAATATTGCGTGGGTCGTTCAGAAGTTTACACCGCCATTTTGTTATGGGGGCCATTTTTAATTTATAATAACACCGATTAAATATAATTATATTGTCATCAGAACTAAAAGCAGGTAATATTTATTATAATTGAGATTGAACTCAAGAGTAAGCCCATTATATATAAAAAAAATTTGATTACAGAAAGAAAAACATCGAGACAGGTGAAACTAAATAAAAGTTTATAATAAAAAAGACTTATAATGAGTACGTTGCTTCTGTCCGCTTCTTAATGAATTATTATTTGTCGCAGTATGTTTTTATCGATTCTCTATTTGGCGTTCTATTATTGTGCTGCCAACGCTTAGGCAATATACAATAATAATTGTACCGCGTTTGGAGAAACATAAATGAAGCGATTCAAAACAATATTATGTATACGAAACAACAAACTGTTGTATTTTATTTTACTTTTCATGTCTAAGTTGAGTTTTTGTTATTAATTCCTAGAAGCTTTTTCCGTAACTACGCTAACGTAAATTATAGCCTAAGCCACTGCGTATAATGAAACTTGCCGTAGATGAAAGCAAATTATTTAAGATCCATGACCCTGTTTTTTCACTTTATGTATAAAATCTAAGATAAATTGAATCAAATAACTGTTTTGTGAAACACAGGTTAAGTATATTAATACGTTGTTACAAAAAGAAATACTAACATCCCACTTCCGCTTATTTAGAACAAGCTATAGCTTAACTAGGAAACGCTTATATTAGAAATCACCTAAGCAGATTAGTTTGATTCCAAATATATGTTTTTTCTTTTATCCCTTGACATATTTATGGCCTGTCATAAACATATACGCAAATGCCTAGCGCAAGGCACCGCATAACGAATATCATAACTTTAGACATTGCTTAATTTCGTTAGGTGGTTCCTAGTCAATAGTGAAATGCAGTTTTACCCATCCTCCTTAACCATCCATAAGGTAGGTCTGAGCCCATGATGATGATGATGAATTCTAAATATTTAGCCGACAGGATTGGGCGACTGCTAAGTTTAGTGAAAATATGCATTGGTTTCGTATGTATAAACTTCATAAATTCAAATTTAATTCAAGCTACCTATTATGCATATTTAAATATAACTGGCAGTAGCTTTTTGACATTCAATTCTTTTAAAAAGCTCCTTGATAAACATTTGGAATGTATCCACGGACTTAGTAGACCTTTTTGACACAAAATATTTTATATCTACGAGTTTAATGAAATTCAATCACAGTTCATAATCAGATGAGAGAACATGAACCTTTTCAATGGTAAAGAATACAATATATGTTATTATCTTTTTTTACCATTGAAATTAGAACATTGAAATAATATTAGGCAAAAATAAATATGAGTGCTTGCGACATGTTCACAATTTATCTGCTACAATGTAACCCCGGCTTCAAACAATTTTACTTTGATAGATTGTCGTATGTGTTACCGAATACATTAATCTACACATATTTAAATCTCATAGTTAAGGCTGTGCCTAAAAACAAATGGAGAGAGCGATAAAGAAACAAATGAGACCGTCAATGTAATAGATAAGGACAGAGAATGGCGTAAGGCGGTAAAACATTATTTTTCATTTATGTAGGTACTCGCAAAATTACGTTTACTGTATATTTATAAATTTTCCCTATAATAAGAGTATATAATATTATCACCAAATAAAAACAATGTGTTATTCTGTAAAGACAAAAAAAATATTACCTTTAACAGTTTTACATGTTTTCCACTTTTATCTTAATTAAATGTAAAGAAGACATTA